AGTTGCTAAAATGTCTTCTAAATCATTCGACAAATATTATTATTGATTTTGCTGTCTTCATGATGAATTGATTGCTCATTGTGCGTAACTCAAATTTATGAGGTATTATCACCTCCCTTATTGCTCATTGGATAAATGTACTGCCTTGTGTGGAATTCTTCCATATTGATAATATTAAAAGTTGGACCTCTCTGGAGTTAGTTGTAATCAGTGATTCTGCAAGGAAGAGTGAAACAACTAGCATTAAGGCCTGAACTCCTTCTTACCTGATCCGATGGAAGCTGGAGGTGTTGATACAACATGTGGAATCCAGAAGTAAGGATTTCACTGTAAATTGGAAAATTTCTAACTGACAAGCTTGTTTTCCATATGTGGTCCAGTGGAGACTGAAGTCCAAGTAAGCCCCTTACCAGTGCTTGGGTGGCAGGGGAAATCCTATGGAGAGAGGTGGCATGATTGGCACAGGTGCCAGTACGCTTCCTAATGTCCCACTGCTCTCTAATCCCTTCTCAAATCTCCAACTATCCCATGTTGATATTAACCCCTAGCCCCTGACACCATGAAAGTTGTTTTCCCATGTGCTGACATTTGCACTGGAACTGTATTTGAACCTTTTCACCCCACAACTCTATTGCTGGCATGTTGAAAATCATGTGTGCTCCATCATGTTACTGATGTCACATAATGGATACCTGCATTTTTGCCATTACCTGATGAATCACTGGAAACCCATCATTCTAGCATCAAGGTCTTCCAGTAGTTTCTGAATGTTCTTGCTCTTATACTGTAATATTATGTATATGACGCTAAGATGAGTAATAAAGTGTGCAGAGGACACTGAAAATTTGCAGAGGGATGTAAATAGGCTAAGTGAGTGGGCAAGGGTCTGACAGATGGAGTACAATGTTGGTAAATGTGAGGTCATCCATTTTGGTAGGAATAACGGCAAAATGGACTATTATTTAAATAGTGAAAAATTGAAGCATGCTGCTGTGCAGAGAGCCCTAGGTGTCCTTGTGCATAAATCACGAAAAGTTGGTTTTGCAGATGCAGCAGGTAATTAAGAAGGCAAATGGAATATTGTCCTTCATTACAAGAGGGATGGAATTTTTAATAGGTAGGTTATGCTGCAGCTGTACAGAGTGCTGGTGAAGCCACACCTGGAGTGCTGTGTATAGTTTTGCTCTCCTTACTTGTGAAAGGATGTACTGGTACTGGAGGGGGTGCAGAGGAGGTTCACTAGGTTGATTCTGGAGTTGAGAGGGTGGCTTATGAGGAGAGATTGAGTAGACTGGGACTATACTGATTGGAATTTAGAAGAATGAGGGGGAAATCTTATAGAAACATATAAAATTATGAAGGGAATAGATAAGATAGAAGCAGGGAGGTTGTTTCCATTGTCAGATTAAACTTGAACTAGAGGGGCATAGCCTCCAAATAAGGGAGAACAGATTTAGGACTGAGTTGAGGAGGAATTTCTTCACCAAAGAGTTGTGAATCTGCGGAATTCCCTGCCCAGTGAAGCAGTTGAGGTTACCTCGTTGAATGTTTTTAAGGCAAAGATGGATAGATTTTTGAACAGGAAAGGAATTAAGGTTTATGGTGAACGTGTGGGTAAGTGGAACTGAGTCCACAAAAAGACCAGTCATGATGAAATTGAATGGTGGAGCAGGCTCGATGGGCCAGGTGGCCTACTCTTATTTCTTATGTTCTTATATTTATTCGCTAAAGTAGTTACAGCATCTCACCATTTCTCTAAAATCTTTACTAAATTTGTAGTTTGAGTTGGTCTACATAAGTGCATATATATGCATTGCACTTCTGATGAAAACATAATTAATTTGATGATTTCAAGCAACCATGCAAATACACACTTCTCAAGATCAAGCCAGTGGTAGTTGCCCCTTGGGCATCTTCTTCAGGTCACCAGTTACTTCTCCTATTCATACAACTAATGCAGAGCAACCAGTAATGCCCACATCCCACACAACAATAAAAATAAAGAACATTGAGGTTTGGGGAGATGGAGGGAGAGCCTGGAGCTTCAAGTAAGCAAATGAGTTGTGAGTTCTTGATAATTCAAAACCTTCTGAAAGTGTTCTGAATGCCTATGAACACTTGCAAGAGGTGATCAAGATTTGGGAAGACCGCAAAGAAGTGTTTTAAAAATATATTTGCAAACTAAACTGCATAAAAAGTAAACCACAATAGCTCACAGTGCTCAAGATGTAGTATTGGTTGCAATGCAATCTTTCTTTGCAACTAATACATTAACTCTAATGCAATTTTTATGTAGTGAATGAAGGGAATGCTTTATCTTCTGCTATCTGAACATTGTGATATCGGTCTGGATTGTTTCAGGCTGTGGATGTCTGCACATACACTGTCACTGCGACCCCATGCTCCCTATCTCTTCAACTCCTGATGTACTGCGACACTCTTCTATATCCATCTGTACATAGATTATACGCCAGAGAGCTGTATTTGATTATCTAAGACATTTCTCTTCACGTGCTTATTCTTCACTGGTGTCTTCTCTCTTGCTACTGTCTGAGTCATTTGATCAGTTATCTTGTCATTTTTTTTAACATGGACCTCATTATTCTACATCTCCTCCCAAGTTCTCTCCAATTGATCTACATTTTTCAGTGGCTTACTTTTATTTACTTGCATTGTTTTTGAATTCATTAACATCATTATTATAATGATCACTGTTATCACCATTATCACCATCTCCTTCACCCGTCCAAGTCTGAATCTCTCAGATCGAGATGATCTGGAACTTTGGACATCACAATCAGGTCTGCTTGAGTCCAACACTAGGGTAATACTGTTGTACAATGCTGGAATAATTGTACCATTCTATACTTTGTCTGATGTAGTACATACACAACTCAAGGGTTATCAATGCCTTCCTGTTCCTCCTGAATGTTCCTGCAGGCAATCTGACAAGATCTCAGTTGATCTGTTTGTCTGATAATTGTGACTTCTGACTTCCTATACATTCACCAGTCTTTCTGCCCTGGCTTTAATGGTGACAGAATTTTTACTGTGCATCTAGAGTTGCACCAACTGTGTTACTTCCTACATATCTTTTCTTTTAAGTTGTTTTACCTTCTTGCTGTCTTGAGAGGTTATATTTGACTTGAAATTTTGTTATAAAAGTAATAAACCTGTTTTAACCTAATGCCCAAGAGCAATGCTGCTGGCAAACTCTCATTAATCAAGTGTTGCTTTGTAACTGAGCATAGATAGTTTCCAGCTGGAATCTTATGCATCAGTGACTTCACAGTCTTGACAACTCTTTCTGCCTCTCTGTTCAACTGAAAATGAGATGGAGAAGGCTGTCAGCTGGTTGACACCTGCTTCTGAATGTGAACATCTCCTGAACTCCTTTTCATAAATTAGAAACTGTTTTCTAATACTAATTCTTCTGGCAAAACCATACATCACAAAGCTCCTTTTCAAAGCTCCAGTCACTGAATCTACTGTAGTTGAATGAAGTCTTGCTGCTTCAATCAACCTTGATTACTTGCCGATTAAGACTAAATACGTTTTCTCTTTATAATGAAACAAATCTGTTGCTACCCCTATCTATGGTTTTTCAAAGATCTTTATGAACTCATTGGCTCTGTAAGTATTTGGTTGCATATGGTAGACAATTTACATGACAATATGTAATCCTGTATATCTTGGCCTGCTGTGTTCATCCAGCCCTGCACCTTGTTATCTTTTGAACTACTTGACCACCACACTGATTGTGGAGCAAGAGCATAACACTTTGTGATACCTAAATATCCTACACAGAGTTTCTGTAAGATTGTCTGACCATTAATTGTGGGAGAATCACTCTATGGTCAAACACCAATAAATATTCCGCTATTGTCAAGAGTTGTTCCTGCTCAGCACTTGATCTGCTGGATTACATTGTGACCACCCTTTCAGTCAGGAGTTGTTTGACTGTAATGCACTCATTAGATTTTTGAGTTACATAAATTTCTCTCAGTTTTCCCTCAGTTGCCAGTTAGTGGTAGTGTGAGTTAGTATTAGAATTAGGTTTATTGTCATGTGTACTCAATTTACGAAAGAACAGGAGTATGGTGAAAAGTATACAATGTCACCAACACATAGTACCATCTTAGGTACAAAGTATCTAGGTACATCTTAGGTACAAAAAAAAATAAGATAAAAATGTTACACCACATTACAGTTATACAAAGTATATAATTAGTGCTATAGATTTACACTTCTTTTACAAGAAGATCCTACTTTTTGCTTAATCCACTGTTGCTCTCAAGAATAGTGCTGTCTTTCATCTTTTGTCTTACCAGAACATCATTGGCAGTGTATAAAAATGTGCACACTTGATGGCGCTGTTCCTTCACGTGTAAGCTTGAAGCCATTCTATTGCATTGCAACTGCTGCTTCCAGAGCTCCCACTTCAGCCTTGCTGTGGGCCTTCCACATTATCAAATGGTTGAGGTTATAGCAAGGTCTCTACCAGAGCTGTCATCCTAATGAACTGACCTAGTGCTTGGATATTTTACTGTCAAAACTTTCCGATTCCATGTCTCCACGTCAGCAACCTGCAGGTCCTGGAAGGAGAGCTGTAGGAGATTTGTGTGAGGCTGAGCAAGGGCTGACAACAGGGAGGTAATGTGGAGTGCTCATAATTTCATTTTTTTTAAAATAAACTTTCCTTTTTGGCAATGCCCTAGTCATTGATTAGGCCACATGCAGTAAGACCTTTGCTGGGGACATTTGAGGCAATTTGGGAAGGTAGCCTTGAACGGAGTAACACCCACTATCTGCATGTGCCTATTTTCAGGCATGAGCTCTGAATACCTATAATGGTGCCTTTACAAATATGGCATAGCACAATTTCACCACAGAATGAGCCTCCCACCATTGTGGACACTTTACATCTGCAAAAGTCAAAGAATATCTCGGCCATGGGATCTACAGAGGACTGTGGAAAATATAAACAAAAAGCATAAATATTTATATAAAGACTTACTTTATTTTCTATTTGAAACCTATGTCCATGTTTATTTAAAGGTCATTACATGGCTACATGGCTGAGGATGGCAACATTTAACCCTTTGAGGGTTAGAAATACAGACAAACTTTCATATGACAACAAATAGTCTCAAGTTCCAAAATTACATATTTAGAAAATGTGTAAACATTTTAGCCTTTGGATTTGCTGTACATTTTAAGTAAATATCAGCTGTGCTTAATAAGGCATGAAACAATGGCTGAGACAAGAAAATGCTTTTTATAGCACCAGAATCATGATTATTTGATAAAGCTGGTTTTAGTAAAACAAAAGACCAAATCCATTCCAGTTTACATTTTCATTGTAACATTGTGGTTTTGTGCAAAATATTACTGATTCTTGCACAACCAATTTATTTCAACATCTTTTACATGATCTGCAGTACAATAAGTTCTAAAGCCCCTTGAAGGCCAGAAATCTATTCAAAATTAGAGTTGCCTAGAATAGTATAAAAAGAAATTGAATTCAACTAGTAAAGCCATGTAGGGTATGTAACCAGTCAATGAACTTAAGGCCTTAGGACATAATTCCACATGAACACATCCTATTTGTAGGTACCACTTCCGAAACGTTGAAATTAACGGTTATTTTGATCAATAGTGCAGCAGGTGATAGTAAATTAGCAACCTATTTTGCATCCCTCCTATTTGCTTTTGCTGTTTTGCATTGCAGCCCAGGATAAGTTTGTAGCCATTGTTTTTATCAAAAATGCCCTTTTTTTAATATGATGATAGAAGAACCATAATTTTTTGTCACTCTAAGCCCCCACACAGATGATGACTCATTTCAATGTGATTGTTGGTGTTATAGAATCCATTGAAACTTTGTTTAAAATATGCCGCTTTTAACAATTATCTTGGCAAAGAATTTAAAATGAATATACATAGGATTGTGAAACCTCTACTGTATAATTTAATCCCATTTACCATTATGGCTAGGCACCGATGAATCTAGTAATGTAATTCAGATAGACCGTGCTCCACATTTAGACACAGTCTGATAAAATTACTTCACAAATACAATTATATCATCTGATTGAAAGGAATGAGACATACAGCGAATAAAATTCCCATGCTGTCTTTAGATTCATTGGAAGTGATTTTGATTTTGGATGAATGTGTAACAAACAATATTGATTCAGTTGCTGGGGCTTCACTTCCACGGACTTAAAAGGCAGAAGTCCTCCCAATATGTATATTGGCCTCGTGGGCATATTAGTGTTGAGCTATAAAGTTATATCATTTACAACAGATACAGTGATTGCTTTAGAAAGGATAAGCTGCAACAAATACATAAATTTTAGCAAGGAATGAAGTGAACATTCCCTGACGCCACAGTTTCATTTCAACATCAAGTAGGAAATCTTTGGATTCCATGAATTGCCGTTGTACGTACACAATTCCAGTGTAAGCATTCACCTTCCGTGTATTGAAGTAATTTTCGTTATTTCCTTTAGTGATGGTCAGGATAATGCTATCTCCTATATACGCAGGTGATGGAGCAATACGGAAAATGGTGCTTGGAACTTGGACATTGGTTGGAAAAGTCAGCTGATAGTAGGTGATTCTGACTGGCATATTCTGGCAATCCATGTAGTTGGGACACATCATGCGTTCACAGCGCCTGAGAAGGGAATGTCATCTTACTTAATATATATAATGAAACAAGAATACAGTGCCCTCCTGTAAAAGCTCAAAAGCCTATCAGCGCAGAAACTTAGAATAATGTGCATAAGAGTTGAGAAAGCTTTGCAGAATCAGGAGCCATTGTTACCATTATACAGCATCATAAAACAGACAGTAGACCATAATTATTAAATTAGTACAGACTGCTTGACCAAATGCAAAGTAAACCCAAACTAAATTAGTCACCCATTGCATTTTCTGTACACAAACAGCTTATTTTGTTACAAAACCTGTATACATACGAAATGACCACTGAGACCGTATGAATAAATGGAGATCTGAAATTTATTCAAAATGTTATACATACAGTTGGTGCTGAAGGAAGCATGTGTCAATTGTCTGAAACAATCACCAATGCTCTTTTCCTACAGCCCAGCACGTTCTATCCTATTAAGTAGTGATCTTCTGAGAAGTACTATTGAATCTGCTACGACCCAAGCTTTCTGGAAATACATTCCAGATCATAATATATCACTGACTTTTCATAGAAGATCTCTATTGCCCCACTGGACTTTTTTTTGCCAATTATTTAAATCTGTGCTCCAACTCAGAATTCTGCTTAGTGACTGACCAGCTAGTGGTTACAATTTCTCCCTGTCTGTTCCATCAAAATCCCTCTCAATTTTGAACACCTCCATTAATCTTTTCTGTTTTCACCTTCTCTGTTCAAATCAAAAACAGACCCAGTTTCTGTTGTCTCCCCAGATTAGTGAAACTCCTCATCCATGGTACCATTCTACTCAATCATGTCTTCACCCTCACCCAGTGCTCGATGTCATTTCTAAAATACAATGCTCAGAATTTGGTACAATGCTCTAATTGACGTCTATTGGGTGATTTAATAAAGTGTTAGGGCTTTCACAATCTTATATATTGCACTAAAAGAGGCCAATTATCAAAGACAATATGTTTGCGCTATGAAGTAGACTGTCTCATAGAGTCAAAGGGTGTGGAAACAAACAATTCAGCCCAACTCATCCATGCTGACTAGGCTTCCTAAACTGAATTAGTCCAATTTGCCTGTGTTTGACCCATATCCCTTTAAACCTTTCCTATCGTTACTAATTTCCTGTGGCAGCTCATTCAATATTCACATCACTCTGTGTGAAAATGTTGGCCCTCAGGTCCCTTCGAAATGTTTTCCGTCTCACCTTAAACCTGTGGCCTCTAGTTTTGGACTCCCCTACCCTGGGGAAAAAGACTTTGTGCCCTTCATGATTTTATAAACCTCTATAAAGGTCATCCTTCCGCCTCCTATGCTCCAGGGAAAAAAAAATTCCAGCCTATTCAGCCTCTCTATTTAACTCAAACCTCCAGTCTCAGTAATATCCTTGTAAATCTTATTTGCACCCTTTCCAGTTTAATAACATCCTTCATATAGCAGGGCAACTAGAATTGTACGCAGTACACCAAATGCATCCCAACTCCTGTACTCAATGTTCTGACCGATGAAAGCAAGCATGCTAAATGCTTTCTTCACCACACTGTTGACCTGTGACACCCCTTTCAAGGAACTATGGACCTGCACCCTTAGATGTATCTGTTCAACAACAATCCCCAGGGCCTTACCATTAACTGTGTGAATCCTGCCCTAGCTGGTCTTATCAAAATGCAACACCTCGCATTTATCTATCTAATGATTTCCAATGTACAAACAATGCAAAATGTTTGGCATTCTTGAGATTGTATAAATGCATTTTTTTCCTACACCTAATATCTGCAGCAGATATGGTGAATAGTCACAAAGTGAGATACTCATTGAAATAAAAATTCACCAGAAATTCAAAGCACACTCAAAATGGTCACAAGTATTTCGTTAAACAATGGCTGGAAATTTCCGGCATTTTTGGCTGCAGACGTCAATTTAATGCTACCAGAAAGTCGCAACCATGATATTCATTTCTTACTACAGCTCACCAGTCAGAGGGAGCAGAGACATACTGACTCCTCTGTTGAGCCTAATAGTAAATTGAGTCTGGGAAGGTTGGGGTTGATGAAGTGGAAGAAGAGGCATTTGTGGAGGTATCTCAAACATGGTAAGAGCCATGGGGTCATTTCTGAGTTAAAATGGACGCTTTCTGTTTCTCCTAGGACAGCAAAATAAAAGCTGAAGCTAAGCCATTTTTGATCTGTCCCCTTCCAGCTCTGCTAATTTGTAAACGAATTCCACATGCTGGATCCTTGAACAAATACAGACCTAACTCACATTTCTGAAGTATAATTCCTTTCCCAGGCAGCTGTCTTGGGTGATAGTTAGCTGAGCCATTAATGCATCTGGTGTTATCTGGGGGTCATTCGGATGCAGCAGATCATGTGGAATCTCCATTCTCAAATTCATGATGTGCCCTAAGTGGAAACAGGCAAACCAATTCGAACAGATATAGAGCAGAGCATTGGGAGCAGCACTTTGGATAAGAGCCATGCTTCAGATTCTCATTGCAAGATGATTTTAAAAGTTAAAATTGCCACTCAGTTGATGTATTTGTGCAGTCAGTCGAACCAATATATCCAGCCTCTCTCTCTGCAAATTCTAATTGACAACATTGGAAAAAACAGCAGGATTTATCAACCAGTGCACAGGCATAAGCTCCATTTTTCACTCTGTGATACTGCCAGTCACAGAGAAATCTGGCCTCGTGAGCCCCAACACCCTCTTTCTGTGATGTATTTTGCCACGGTTCTTATTTTTCTACGTCAATTGCAGAAGTAACAGGAACTTAATCTTACTACAAAGAAAAATCTCTGTTTTGCTTGGATTGGAAATAGTCGAGCACTTACATGTCAGACACTTTCCTGTAGTTTGGTGGGCAATCCACGACAGGGCATTTGAATCCACCTTGGATATTGAAGCAGGTCTCAGTTGATGTGCAATTGTGTGTTCCTATTGCACATTCATCAATGTCTGTGGGAAATTACACACAACTGAGAGGTTTAATTGTTTATTTCACAAGTATAGAGTGAACACTGAAATTACTGTAATCAAATGACAAGAATATGCAGCATTACACTGTACTGATGAACTTACGTAAGAACACGAGGTTGAAGTTGGAGCAATTCATTTAAACACTTGAGACCTGCTGTGCAATTCAATAAAATCCTGGCTAAATATCTTTCTTAACTCTACATTCCCACACTGTCCATTTTAATATAAGAAATTGTAGCAGGAGTAGATGATATAGCACCTCATGTGTGTTTGGCCATTCATAACAGTCTTAGCTGATCTTTGACTTCAAATCCGCTTTCCTATCTGCTCCCTGTATCTCTTGATCCCTTAGTAACAGCTAAGTGCGCTAAAGGATCATAAATTACATTCCATATAATGCTTTTTAATAGCTTTCCCACAGCAATGTCAAATACTGATTATTTTCTCCTTGAGTGATGGAAGCTCATGAATCTCTTTCAGTTCAATTGAAATCAACTCTGGCTTCATGAGTTATTGATTATATGGGCCAGTGGCTCACATTACTGATCCCATTTCATTTAACAGTAAATAGAAGCAGATTCAGCAGCACAAACAGCTTTAAGTACTTAAATATTAACTGAACAGATTTCTGCAATTCTAGACACGGAAACAATTTTGGTTGCACATATGTTCTCTACAATCAGGAATGAATCATCACTTTCAGAAGTGAAAAGCAATGCAAAGTATCCATTAAGATCATTAGCCATATCTGTATCTCCAATTCTAATCTGTCTTCTAGCAAACTGAGGAAATCTTTGGCAATATTACTGCAATGGGATGACTATGCCATTTTAATTAGTATTCCTAACACTAACTTTAGTTGACTATAGCTGTTTTCATATCCTTGTTATTAATCTTGTGACAATTAAATTTTTATATTTTGTTATTTGAGCATTATTTTAGAATGGAGCCCCCTATTTAAGCGTAGGGGTGGACAAGATCTCCTTGATTGTTGCTGGGAATGGAGGGCTTGAGTGATAAAAAGAAATACATTGGGTAGGCTGGGACTTTTCTCACTGGAGCATAGGAGGTTAAGGAGTAACCTTATTGAGGTTTATAAAATCATGAGGGGCATAGATAACGTGAATAGCAAGGATCTTTTCCCTAGGGTGGGGTAGTTCAAAACTTGGGGCATATTTTTAAGGTGAGAGGAGAAAGTTTTAAAAAGAGCATGAGGGGCAACTTTTTCATGCAGAGAGTGGTTCGTGTGTGGGATGAACTGCCAGAGGAAGTGGTGGATGCAGGCACAGTTACAATATTTAAAAGACATTTGGATAAGTACATGAATAGGAAAGGTTTGGAGGGATATTGGCCAAACACAGGCAAGTGGGACAAGTTTAGTTTGGGAACGTGGTCAATGTGGACGAGTTGAACTGAAGGGTCTGTTTCTATGCTGTATGACTATGACTCCATGGTTCATCAAAATTGAATTAAATACATTCCGCTTATCTTTCCAAATCAAATTAGTTCCTTCCAGAATAGATGACTCAACTTTCCAAACCATTCACTCCCGCCCCAAACTGCACCATTACTCCACTGCATTCATGCAACAGCCCATCGACCAGCACATTTTTTGGTTGTCTCCTGAATCCACAACCCTCTCCCTGTGCCCACCCCCCCGCCCCCCCCCCCCCCACCCAATTAGAAGTGATCTTATTATCTGTTTATCAGTCTACAAGGACCTACAAGCCTATCAGAGGTCTCATTTTTATCCCTTCTCAAATATACGCACATCTGTTCAGTACAACAGCCCAACAGTGCGTATTAACAAAACAACAGTGAATGTGATCCTGTCTATCGCACAGTGTTCTCTCCATGACTGTACCAGAATATGTTTAAAAGTATAAAGCAAGAATGATTAATTCTTTGTATGCGTGTGGGCCAATCTGGTTGTTGAAAATAACAGCGTGCAGGGATTATGAGTATGGATAAAGATACTTCTGTTATTTTAGGAATTTGATGATTACTCCATTCTACTCAGTGAGAATCACCATAACTTGTGCTTGGGTCAATCTCTTTGTCCATATTGCAAGGAACTGGAGTCATTATATTTTCTTTTCAGGTTTTATATGAAGACCACACAAAATGAAGAACAACCACAAGGCAGGTTATAGACAAGGGAGGAGCAACAGCAGCTTGAATGGCAATGATGATATAACCAATATTAGCCAGCCTACCATGTATCTTTGTTAGTTCACCAATAATGTCATTAGGTTCAACTACACAGGGCACATCGGTCACCAATGTTATCTCCCCCTGGCTAGAATGTCAGGGGGGAGGGATCCCACCCAGAAGACTGGCTGACCCATTCACTTAATGGTATAATGCATAACAACCACTGGTAGGCTGCAGGAGGGAACTTTGCCCCATAGGGGAAGGACATCGTTCCTCGGAGAGCTGCTGACCAATTAGAGATAACACCAGTGGGAATGGTGCTCGCTGCTAGCATGGCACTCAGATGCTGAAGAGGTAATTGTAATGGATTAGAACCTTGTAAACATTTGGGGCTCAGTCGGGATGTGTGGGGTAGGGCTGGGGTTGGGGGAGTTCATGGTGGCTATGTCTTGGGGAATCCCTGCAATTGGACCTTCAGGCCAGTGAAAAAAATGACCTACCCTGGCCAACCTCTGGATGCTTGGACCTCTCCTGCCACCAGCTAAATGCCAGTGGTGTAGGATGAGATTCTTAAGTGGGAATTAGTTGCCCAGGTAAGGGGTTCAATTAGTCCATTGGCAGGATGCTAACCTGTACAATTTGATGGAGGCAAAGATGGTGAATGCTGCCTGCTGGATTTGATATGTCCTTTGTCTTCAAAACAGTTGGTGGGGAAGTGTTAAATCCAACCCATTATTTTTGTTTCATCGTGAGCAGTGAATGGTAATAACAAGCTGCATTCTACGGTCTCATACTGTTTCTAGAGACTTTGTAAGTAGATTTCCAATCAGCAGAATGTAAATATTTTCGGTAAGTTAAATTGTTTTTTTTCTAGTAGGCCGTGTATACGGCCCCTGTATTATCTAAACTACTGTTAAAAAGGCATTACCTAATTTCCTCAGATTCTACAATAATGCCAATTTTACAATTCCTTCTCCAAACAATTTGGAATAGATTTATACCTTGTGTAATATCGGCTACTACCCGATCCACTCCCCCATACAACACACAGAAAGTCCACTATATTTTTAAAGCTTCTGTGAATCCCAGAACTTTTCCCCACAGTTCATTAGATTATGATTGCAATCTTTTCATCAATTGACATTAGAATTTCATATTCCTGTTTCAGTTTTATATTCCTTTTGCCATCTTGGTAGAAAGACAAGAGCAAAGAGTAAGATACCACCAAGTTTGCAATGAGCAAGAGACAGGGGTAAGCTAAATAAAGAAATAGTTAAAATCCTGTAGATTATAACAGCACAGTTAGCAGGTACAGACAAAATGCACGATAGTATTCAAAATACTGCAAAAAGCTTCAAAATGTACCAAGCATCCATATTTCCTAGTCAAAATCCACACTACCTCCCACTTAACAAATAAACTTCGCAGTATCAGAACTAATTTGCCCTTCAAAATAATCTAAATCTATCTTCTAGAAGATTACTCTTTAGTGTACTGTAATGCTTTTTGCCTGCACAATGCAACCAAGGATGGTTGCAACTTCAGCCATGACCAGTTCAGGCCCTCTACACTCCCATTAGAACTAATTCTTTTCACAAGTCATAGAGAAGACCATTGGGTTTCAGTTTTGACGGACAGACTCAACTATGAAATGTAATCCCCAAAGGTCAATAAAACCCCTGAAATCTCATCCAACAAAAGGTAAGTTATCTTATTCAGTTACCTTGAAGCAGAGATCTTTACTGAAAACTATTTTTCATACACAATACTTCTTGATTGTCAGCTTTTTGGAAGTTCTGTGAGCTTGTCCATAATTTATAGGTTAACATACATGTTCAAAAAAGGGAAATATAACCTTCCAGCTCAGCAATTAACATTATGTTACCAGCGACGTTCATTTACTTCACCCATGAAATTTGACAATACAGTGATTATTTTTTGCCCAGTTGTTCCCTGCATGAAGACTGGATATCATTTCAGAACTTCTATTAAACAATAAATTTAACCAGTTGTCCTCTTGGTACTTTACTTAACATATTATCTAAGAAAGAAATGACACGCTTATTGAGTACGTCATCAGAATATCTCAAAAGTTAAAATCAATGTAAGCAAATACAGAACCCCAGTGGCAGGGTTAGGGCTGCAGTCAATTTTGATGTGTGATCAATCAACAGGCGACATAATCTTGGAAGATAATACAACTATGAAGAATGTAATAGTGTTATGGCCTGGCCAAAAGACATGTAAAGCTCAACAAATTAGGACAGCCAAGTAAATGATTGAAACTTGAAATCCTTGCTTGGGGTGGTGGACCAGAAATACCAAGACATTTTTATACTTTAATAACAAATGCTGGCTGAAATCAATGCCATCTTAAACTGAAGCTCTGGATAATAAATGTCACATTAGTGTTTTAGTGGAAAGGTGAAATTTTGTTGATGAAGCATACTCTTGAATCAAGTTCCATGATCAAAATTTTTCTAAATATATCATCAGTCCTTAAATGTCATTGAGTCAAAATCCTGGAACTCCCTCCCTATTGACATTGTGGGTCTACCTACAGCACATGGACTGCAATGCTCAAGGAGGCAGCTCACCACCACCTTCTCTAAGACAGCAAGGAATGGACAATAAATGCTAGCCCAGCCAGTAACACCCCTGTTTCATGAGTGAATAAAATAAAATTGGTGCTTAGGAGTGCTGACCCAGCACTCAAATTCTGAATTGGAAACTTCACTAGCAGTGGGGGCAGACAGACTTCAGTGAGGGGGGAGGTGGATGTGTTCCAAAAGAAAGCATTCTGGTAAAATTTTCAGACTCATTTTATTTGGAAATCAGAGATTGTAGTAACCATCAGCCCATGAAATAATATTACAAATAGAGCTAATATGAAAAGGAACATCATATACCACTTTCTGAACATTGTCTTACCAAGGGAGAAATTAAACCAACCTTAGTAATTCTGTAAAAACAAGACCTTGAAAAATGGATGTTTAACAGCAGCACCAGAACCCAATTTATAAAAATAATATCTTAATTATTATATGCATTTCATAATGTACATAATATTCCAAAATGGAGAGCATTTAGAAGTGTATGTGTGTCTGAGAAATTAAAAACAAATGAGAAAAAAATCCTACCTCTACACGTTCTTCCATTTGGTGACATTGTATAACCAAACTCAGGGCAGGCACAATTATAACTCCCAGGGACATTCACACAGCGGAATGTACAGAGCGTGCTTCCACTTTGTGCACACTCGTCAATGTCTGAAATCAAAACTTTCTTCAGTGAATGCAACAAAAAAGTTTCAAAAATATGCTACACGAGCTGGTAGCATAAAACTTAATTGCATATTCTCATTAACATAACAATAACAATTGTTATGACATAACGAAAGACATAACAATACAATGCAATGAAATTATTAACTTAACAATGGTTGATATTTATTAATTAACTTTTCTTGTTTTTGATATACTCTCATCTTGTGTTTTTTTATTTTTACTGAAACAATACAATAGAATTATAGATTCACATTTTGCTAAGTTGGAAATGATGGGTGGAAATCTTTTGCCTTCACCTCCTTGCGAGTTTAGTGATGGGAGAAATTAATCAGCTGGAAAGTAGGGCAGCATGGTGGCTCAGTGGTTAGCACTGCTGCCTCACAGCGCCAGGGACCCGGATTTAATTCCGCCCTCGGACGACCGTCTGTGCGGAGTTTGCACATTCTCCCTGTGTCTGCATGGGTTTCCTCCGGGTGCTCCGGTTTCCTCCCACAGTCCAAACATGTGCAGTTTAGGTGAATTGACCATGCTAAATTGCCCATAGTGTTCAGGAATGTGTAGATTAGGTGGGTTACAGGGGGATGGGTCTGGGTGGGATGCTTCTGAGGTTCGGTGTGGATTTGTTCAGCCGAAGGGCCTGTTTCCACACTGTAGGGATTCTATGAAGTGGGGACTCCAGCACCTTTCCAGTTCTACCCTGATTAAATCTTGGGCAGCATTCCTGCACCCCACCCCACCACCACCACCAATGAAGGCTTGTAAGTGGATAATTAAGGCTCAGTTAAGGTCCCCATCCAGCACAATTGATATTAAGCCAGCAGAAACTGACGCTACAGAGAACACAAAAAGCTAACAATGGTTTTTTTGGTTAGAGGTTTCCAGGATCTCCCTTCTTCAAAGGCATTGAGTGCATGTCCACCATTGGGAAGGGGGACCACCAATGAAAGCTAATTCTAGCCCAATCACACCCCTCTCCCTCGCCAGCCTCACCCTGTGATCGCCCTCTTGCTATCATTTAGCTGTGCCTGAGTCTTTCTTTGGTCCAAGGTCTCTAGTGAGTGTCATCTCAGCAACAACCAAGTGGTAGCGCTGTTGAGTAGACCGGCAGCTCTCAGCAGGTGGCACTTCCACCTCTGGGGTCATTGAAATGGGGACAATGGCCCCCCCGGACCTGTCAAATGCCCAAGTAAGATGAGATGCACTGGCATTACCACTAAAAGATTCAGCCATTATCTTTCATCGAAATGAATAGTTGAATATGTAAAGATAATTGTCTCCTGTTTGCGATTCGAAGATACTAATTATGCAGTTAATGAGAAATTCCAGGTTGTTTGATTTGCACTCTTGACCAGTTTCCATTTCTTACCTACCTAATATTCTAAAGACTAGAAATGTATACGCTGTTTGTTTTATTCATGGAATAATAATAATAGTCTTCAGTGGTGTAGATCGAGAATAATCAGATCAAAACAGTAAATTTTAATGTATTTTCAATATCTACTGTAAAACAAAATTTTCTATTGGCTTATGACTTCCATTTAATGAAAATATACATTATGAAGAATGATTACAGTATATTATCATTTTGTATCATTGAAAACCAGATAAATACCTCAATATTGTAGTACAATGCAGTTCAATTATATACCAGTATTAATATTAGAAAACTAGTTATTCAAGAGCATTAGGCAACATATTGTCAATGCTAACAACATGCCTGAAATCAAAAAGCTAGTTTCCACCATTAATTTAGTTTGTGCCAGAGTCAGTGTAAGACCAGTTTATTTCCATTTTTCCAAGGGCAAAAGCCAGATGCTAAAATATAACTATCTTAAAATAAAGAAAAGACAACCTCTGTTTACTTTTGATGGAGAGAACACTGAATTTTGTGCTCAATAATATAATGGATGTGAGATTCGGAGAAGAGAATATTGTTTGTTTTTTTTAATAACCAAAGGAGCCAAAGGTTATCCGAGGTAGATAGGAATGTGGTTTTTGAGGCCACAGTCAGATTAGTATGATTTATTAAATTGTGGAACAGGCTAGAGGAATCATATCATTTGCTCCTGCTTCTAATTTGTAAGTTCATCAAAAATTTCCGGGTCAAGTACTGAGAATTGGATGCCATGTCAAGGAAATTCTACATTACCAACAATACTGTACCTGTTTTCAAAAGAAAAAAAAAAAAAAAAAAAGAGAGTTTTGTACTGGCCAGCAGTTTGTTTTACTTGAACAATTTTGTATTGTTCAGCTAGAACCCAGAAGGCCACTATGGAAAGGGGTGCCACTTCATTTGGGAAGTGCATCTTATTGCCAAGAAGGTGACACTTATGTTTTGTCAAAAAATAGAAAGGACACATAGGTTTCATCACAATAATTGACAGTCAAGAATTCCTCAGTGTAACCTAACTGAACATTGGGATGAATGCCATGAGATTGAGCATCTGCCTATGAAAGAAGAATTGTATGTTCTGGGCCAATTGGTCATGAGAGAAAATCAAATCAAGTGATTTCGTGTTTTGATGCTGATGCATGAGGCCAACAAGAGGAGGTTTAGTGTGAACAATGAACTCAGGTTAAGTAAGCATCGCCATTGCTTGCTAAACGATAAGGTAGCTTGCTGCATCTGAACCATTGGCCTGAAGCTGACATGGAGCACAGCAAGATGTGGCGGTACGGGACTTCAATTGAGTGACAAATGTTTTTTGCTGCCTGTCTTGGACAGTTAAACTTCATTTTTCACATCAACATTTTGAAGGAACCTACAAAGGTAAATATAATGAAGGCAATGACAGGATCTTGCAAATGCATAGAGCACACTGTTCAGTGCAAATCAACAAACCGCAGTGGAAGAGGTTGTGTAAAATAATGTGGAACATTGATCTAAAACTCTGCTCTAACCACACCGCAATCATGAATTAAAAACACTGAACAGAACGCAACTGAAGGTATTTCAAGTAGCAGAAACAGATAACTGGCAGCCAAATCTGTCCAACCACTGGGCAAACTAGGTAGTCACCTAGAGTGACAATATTTGAGGGCCAGTAAAAATAAACCTGAACTATTCATGAAATTACATATGTTAACAGGCTTCAGCAGTTTCAGTGAAAGGTCTAGATCCACATTTATTTACATATTATAGATTTTCATGTGTTTACTTTACAGTCTTTTATTAAACAACCCATTGTTTGGCTGTTTGGCAAGATCTCTGAAAAGAAATGAAGCAAATTGATCAAAGGACTTTGCTTCCTGTTTGTGTCATGTGATAACTGTATGCGTGTTGAAGCTGCAAAATTAATATTTAATAGTATCGAAGCTGTTTGCTAATGTATTAACCTGTCAATTTAACCTAGATTGGCTCCCAGAAAGGGAGATGAAAGGACTGCATTCTAACAGTTTGTGTCAAATAACATGTTTTCCCATCCCATCATGCAAATTAATTTAATATCTTCACACTACTCTCATGAGCATTGCAGGGAAGAATTCTCTCTGGGCCAATTACTTTTCATGTATTAATTATGATAAACCAATACTCACACAGTACTCTGGAGGAGAAGCTCAGATGTAAATAATATCACCATAAAACTGCTTGTCTTGGTGCAGCTTACACTTTAGTTCATCTTGATTTGAGCAATTAGTAAAAGAATTTTGCAGGTGATTTATGGCCTTACTCAGCCATAGAACTGTAATACATAAAAGACTATTAACATAAGAAAGACATATCTTGCTCTGGCTCCCCTTACCTTCACAGGAATGTCCATCTAGTTCAGTCAGTTGGTAACCTTGTCTACAATAACACTGGTAGGAGCCATAAATGTTGGCACATTCCTGCCCACATATATTGTTCTCACATTCATTTATATCTACAGAGAAAAATAGAGAGATAAAATTGCTTCATCATATTCATCGATTCTATGCTGTCTTACTTCGTTAATTTTTAAATACCATTCTATATCGGAATTGGGAATGATATCATCTTTAACTAAAACAAGGCAGCTCAACAATGATCTATGATGGTTATGGAATCAAATTTCTAAAATAAAAATCACCTCGCAACTTCTGAGTAATTGTTTTGAACATTACTGTTAAGGATTTTATAATATGACATTAGCACCAACCACTGAGAGAAGCTCAAGACATTCTAATTTTGTTGTAGTAAACAAATATGCCATAGTGGCAGAACGAGCAAAGTAATTGGAATCAGTGTCCCTATGTTCGGAAGAAGGAAATTGTCCAATGACCTTGCTCTTGGTTGCTACTTGGGAACCGTGGCTAAAAATAAACTTCAGCTTTATGCACTGAAGAAAAGGAGCTTCAAGTTGTCTTTCTAAAACAAACTTGGGAATGACAGTTCATATTAGCCAGAAAAAAGTTGTAGGGCACAACTTAAAAGGTGATGCAGTCAGAGCTGATGGATAAGCCAGATGAATATACCTTATGGTCTACGTTATCATTGGTGATTTCAGAATGGAGAAGTAGCTGAAATGAGGAGGTGTGAGGCATTTTGGGATCTGAAAGAGGCAAGACTTGACTGAATTATTTGAGATACTCAAAGAATATTGATAAAAAGTATTTTAAAAAGGGTGCTGGCTTGAAATAAAGGAGAATCCGTCAGACAGCATGCTAAGGATGAAATCTTAGGAGAGTTTTGCAAGGGCTGAAAGTGACATTGCACAGCTTGTACATGCAGAGAACATGTAGGAAAATGAAAATCTGTCAGTATTTGGAGGCCACTTTGTCAATGACGGTGAGAAAGGAGCTCCAAGGTTACTTCTGATGTCTAGAGCGAGTGGCCATGAGAATGCTGATGTGAAGAGTTTTGGTCAGGATCACAGGAGAGAGCCCCATCCAATACCTCCAAAGCTTCTGTAGAAAATGAAGCAAGAGATGAGAAAGGACATTGCTCACTTGTCTGCAGTCTCCTGAAACACGTTGCCAAGGCTTCCTACAGAGTTTACAAAAGCCCTGACAATTCAAAAATTGGAGTAATTGTTAAGAATTTTCTAAGCTGAGACTAGGTTGAGATCAGCCTCCCCAGGGTAAGGGAAATTGAACTGTTTTTTTGGTGATTGTACGACAAAATGGCACAACGAGGATGAAGAAAATGTATTTTTGGTAAGACTTGGCCTGATCAGAGGCAACTTTAAGCTAGGTAATGCATTTTTCATAAGCATACATTCTTTAATGAACTATGGTATGTAATGCAATGTTTATGACATGCATATTACTTTAAGTTTTCATGTCTATCGCTCTTATTACTGACCGCACAACGATTAAAAATACCTTCACAGTTCTTGCCATCAAGAGCTAGTTTGAATCCAGTGCTGCAGGTACAGTAATAGGACCCAGGGGTATTCTCACAAGTATGTGCACATAGTCGACCAGGATAGCGCCAACATTCATTAACATCTGCCAGAAGCAAGCAAGATTCAATGACAGGACAAAAATGAGATAGTGCAAAAGCAGAAATTAACCAATCCTTTCCAATAAAGATGCCTTTCATTATTCATTTCAAGCTCCAGCAACCAATTCTCTAGGAAACTTGAATCTATCTGGCTTAGCTGAATTCAGCGATGCAAAGATTAAATGTCTGTGCGTGTAAAGGTACAGTATGCATGTTAGATGTTACACAGATAGTCATAAAAAAGAAATCAGAGGCTAGGACACAGGCATTTGTTTGGTATGAAGGTGTTGGATTCCTATCAATAATGTATCATTTCTTTGTCACAATTCTTCGGAGTAAACTTATTTTTGCATCAGACCAAATACTGTGTGCACCATTGGTTTCATCCATGAATGTAATTTTAAATAGAAAATTCATTTATTTGCAAATGCCAAGTTAGAATGTGTGGAACAGTTCATGTACAACCCAAAAATAGAAGCATCAGTTTGCCAACCTTTGTGCAGTATTAATCATCTCTTTTACATTCTCCACTTTAGCAAGTCTACAGTCATCAAAATGATGTTCGAAAGGTATTTTACATAAAAATGACTTTTCATAGCCGAGTAAGTAATTTTGCACTTCAATAGGTGGAGAAATTACTCAAAACTTCAGAAGAATTATTTCATTTATAATAATACTATGTAATGCAAGTGGGATGGAATGTAAGTGGATCAGAATTTTATGCACTGGAATGATGTATTTGGCTGAGTATTTATCCAACTAGACTTGAGTAAATGACCCACAAGTAATAACATCAATGCCTTAGATAAACTACAGCCAACAGAACCCAAGAGTGCTTGCCTATGTAATGTTTATACTTAGCCTGTGTATTATCAAGTTAAAATGTTTTTTTAAGTTTATGAGCTGAGTTTTCATACCATTTTGGATGCAATAGGTGTCCATCAATATAATGTCCGAGAAATTGAAAAAAAAGGAGGGAAAACGTCATTTGACCCATTATGGTTCTGGACTTGCTTGCTCCACACTTGTTCTCCATTCCAAAGATAGCCATGGAAACAAGCATTTCTTATTGACTTATCTCAATTGATACAGTTGAAAAATGTGCTAGGATTAAAAAATGCGTTTATGTAGCACAAAGACCTTGAACAAATTTGTGAATGTGGCTACGCAAGTGTTTCTTGCAAGATTTTGCATTCAAAAGTGCAGAGGTTAAATAGAATCATAGAGATAAATAGCACTGAAACACATCATTTGGTCCAACTCGTCCATGCCAACTAGATATCTGAAATAAATCTAATTTCATTTGCCAGCATTTGGCCCATATCCCTCTAAACCCTTCCTATTCATATACCCATCCAGATATCTTTTAAATGTTATAATTGTTCCAGCCTCCACCACTTTCTCTGGCAGCTCATTCCATAGATGCACCACCCTTCTGTGTGAAAAAGTTTCCCCTTAGGTCCTTTTAAAATCTTTGCCCTCTCACCTTAAAATTCTGCCCTCTACCCACCCCGGGGAAAAGACCTTGTCTATTTACCCTATCCATGCCCCTCGTGATTTTATAAAGCTCTATAAGATCACCCCTCAGCTTTCGATGCTTCAGGGAAAATAGCCTCAGTCTATTCAGCCTCTCCCTATAGCCCAATAACAAATTTTGGAGAAGAAAACACTTGATTCAGTGGTATCAGGAAAATTTACTAAGCAGTTCTGTTACACTAAATTAAAGAAAATGATCGATATCCTTGTTCAGATGGTTCTTGCTTCCCATTGACCCAAGTGGCTACAGAAGTTCATGAATTCCTATTCCTTCCTCTTTTCTCTTCTGTCTTCTTGAAATCTGTACAAAGAACCCTTTGAAATCTGTGTTGTCATTTTCTGGTCTTGTTATCTGTCAATACTTGCATTAAGTCATCAATTGTGATCGCGATCCATGATTATAAACCATGGGCATGACTCAACGGCATATCCTTAGCATACAAAGAATACATCCATCCATGTGGTTCTGAATAACCCAAACCATCTCATATTAATCCTGAATGTGACAGGAATGCATAAAAAAGTAAATTGCAGTACTAAAAAGAATTCATAACTCATAACATGAAGAAGGTTTGAAACATATTAGAAATGCAAAAAGTATTTCAAAAGTTCACATTTCCCACAGGGGTAGTCCAGCATGGTGGCCTCGTTGGCCATATTGCACATTGATTACTCTGGAAGTGAATGCAACCAGAAGCTGTTCAATCAAACGCAGCTATATCGACAAAGCAGTATTCTGGGCAGCTTTTCAGATTGCTGGAGATTGACAATTATCCATTTGACATTAAGGCAAAGTCTCCTTCTTTTCTGCTATTCTTTCAATGGTTAAAAATAACTGCTCTTGCGACACGCAAAGCCTGATTATTCAGTTCTGTCATGAGGCGAATGATTGCTAAGGATAACGCCACTGGCCTACACAGTAAGACTCCAACTCCAATCCAGGCCCAGACCAATTTCAATGAATTCTTTTGATTCTTCTTCAGACAGTGTGTATTCCTGATGGAAGGCATTGTCCTTTTGGAGATTCTTTTGTTATGCAAAATTATCCAGCCTGCACATCATCATGATACTTAAGGCTAATGCCAGAGCATACGACACCAACAGATTCCTCTAGCTCCAAGAAGAAGCTTCAGCATTACCATTGTGTTCAAAGATAATACTCATTTTAGATATTATTAATCAACCTGTTCAGAAATATGATTACACACTTCTAGAACATGTGGGAGCTTTTGGCTCAATATGTCTAATATGGATTTGTAAAGAAAAGTTCAAATATTGGCTCCAGTTCTTTCCTTCACTGCCTATTAATCCTGAATAGAATGCCAGGGAAAATGCATTGGTATCACCAAACAAGCCTATTAGAGGGGTAACTTTAAAAAAACCAAAAGAACTGCAGATGCTGGAAATCAGAAACAAAAACAAATTACTGTAAAAAGTCAGCAGGCCTGGCAGAAGATGTGGAGAGAAAGCAGAGTTTGCATCTAGTGACCCTTCTTCAGAACGCTATAGAGAGGTACAAAAACAAAGTTGCTGGAAAAGCTCAGCAGGTCTGGCAGCATCTGTGAAGTAAAAAACAGTGTTAACGTTTCGGGTCTGGTGACTCTTCCTCAGAACGGAAGAAGGTTCTGAGGAAGGATCACCGGACCCGAAACGTTAACACTGTTTTTTCTTCACAGATGCTGCCAGACCTGCTGAGCTTTTCCAGCAACTTTGTTTTTGTTCCTATAGAGAGGTAGATTTATCTCAGAGAAGCCACCCAGAAACCGTTTTCTCTAGATCGGAGAGGAATGGAACCCATGGAGCTAATTAAAAGAAAGTTTTGTGGTTAAGTGCCACAGGAGTGAATGAATGTTCCTTTACTGTGTGCAGCTGGTCTTTCAGTTTCAAGGTTGGACGTTAGGTTAAGCTTGATTAGAAGTGTTGCCTGGAAATGTTACTTTTTTCAGTGCAGTTTCAGCAATATCAGCATAATGAGCACAAAAGATCATGGACTTTTCGTTACAAAACACAGTCAGCATAAGCTTCTGTGGTCTTTTATGTTTGTTTTAAAAGCATCAAGTTAGAAATAAGCACTGCCCACAAAACTTTGCCTCCAGGAGGAAGGGAGATGCTGCTAATTGCTCTCATTTGCAAGTCTTCAAAAAGACTAAGTTGGAACTTTAAAGGACAAAGACAATAAAGAGTCATATTTCAAAGGGTTGTGATTATATTTTTTAAATTTGTTGATAACCGACCACTGTAATTCAATTAAATTATAAAATAATCTGAATGATTTTAAGTCTTTTGCACTAAACTAAACACACATCACTCACAGTTGTTGGACTGAATAAAATGTTTATTTTTAGTGAGTACTCTTGTTTTCAGCTATATTAATGCAACTTTACAAATTCTTTAAAGAATGACATAATTTTTTTAAAGCACAATTTTAGATTTTTTTTGAAAATCACTTGAAGTACTATATAGCCCATTGCATTATTTCGGGGTAGATTTTACATTTGGCATAATGTGATAGAGGGAAACCTCAGCAGTCAGGGCATAATTTTTTCATGCAAGGTAAAATGTCTGTACTAGTAAAAGAAAGTATTGCAATTATATAGCATCTTTCATAGCCACAGGGTGTCCCAAAGTGCTTTGGAGCTTTGAATTATAGTCCATGTTGTAATGTAAGAAACACAGCAGCCAATTTGTGCCCATCAAATTACCACAACCTGCAATGTAGTAATGAAGAAATAATCCATTTCTGAGAGTGTTGATTGAGAGATAAATATTGGTCAGGACACCAGGGATAACTGCCACTATGATTAACATGTAGCGTAAATGAGGTGGAAGTAACAGAAAATGCGGCACACTGTGTCACAATGCTGTTTTCACCTCAATCATATGTACATCTGTCAGAAATTATGACATAAGTGCAAGTAATTGACTACTACAAGATACTCAGTTATTTAAATTCATGTGTCCATGTCCCAGAGCAATGTTGATGTACTGCATCACGAGTACTAATGAAGCCATAAAGTCATAATGTTTTTACAGCATAAAAAAAGAGTCCCCTCAGCCCATCATATCCATGTTGATCAAACATCCGTCTATTCTAACCTCATTTTCCAGCACTTGGCCTGTAGCCTCGCATGACATGATGTTTTAAATGCTCGCCTAAACAGTTCATAAATGTCTCGAGGGTTCCTGCCCCTACCACCCTTTCAGACAGTGAGTTCCAGATATCCACAATGCAGTGGGTGAGATGTCTTTTCCACAAATCCCCTCTAAACCTTTGTTTAAAATCTTAAAACTGTGGCCCCGATTATCGACCTTTCTACTAAAGGGAAAGGTTTCTTCCTATCTACCCTGACTATGTCCCTCAGAACTTTGTACACCTTAATCAGATTCCCCTCAGCCCCCTTTGCTCTAAGGAAAACAACCCCAACCTATCTAGTCTCTCTTCATAGCTCTCTTCATCATTCCAGCCCAGGCAACATCCTGGTGAGGCAACAGGCACACAGTATTTCAATTGTGGTCTAACTAACATTACAAATAGCTCCATCATAACTCCCTTTCTCTTGGATTCGATGTCCTAACTAATAAAGGCAAATATCCCAAATGCCTTCTTAACCACATCACCTATCTGTCCTTCAAAAGATCTATGGATACGCACATCAAAGTCCCTCAGATCATCCATACTTCCTACCATAGGGTCCTACCATTCAAAGTGAACTTTCTTGTCTAGTTAGTCTTCCCAAAATGCATCACCTCACACTTTTCAAGATTAAATTTCATTGGCCACTGTTCATCCTATTAACCATGTCTATGTCATCCTGTAGTCTAAGGCTTTCCCCCTAAAAGCACCAATTTTTGTGTCATCTGTGAACTTTCTGATCATACCTCCTATATTCGTGAATAAATCATTAACAAACACGACAAACAGTAAGAGATCCAGCACCAAACTCTGTGGTACATCATTGGACACGGGCTTCCAGTTACAAAGCACCCTTTGATCATCACCCTCTGCTTCCTGTCATGCTGCCAGTTTTGGATCAAATTTGCCAAATTGCCCTGAAACTCATGAACACTTAGTTTCTTGACCAGTCTGGCATGCCAGGCCTTTTCAAAAGCCTTACTGAAGTCTATGTAGAGTACATAGACCATGGTACCCTCATCTGCACACTTAGTCACTTGCTCAAAAAATTGAATGAAATTTGTTAAACGTGATCTCCTCTTTACAAGTCCATCATGTCTATCCTTGACTAATCCTTACCTTTCCAAGTGGAGATTAATGCTGTCGCTCAGAACTTTTTTCCAATAGTTTCCATACCATAGCTGTGAGACTCACTTACCTATCATTTCCCAATCTAGCCCTATCACTCTTCTTGAATAATGGTGCTACATTAGCTATCTGCCAGTCTGCTGTAACCCTCCTGTAGCCAAAGAAGATTTGATAATTAATGTCAGGGCCCCTGCAATTTCCTCCCTTGCCTCCCATGCAGCTTTAGATACATCTTATAGAGTCATATAGAATGGAAACAGACCCTTCAATCCAACAAGTCCATTCAACTAGGTTCCCAAACTAAACTAGTCCCACCTGCCTATATTGGGCCCATATCCCTCCAAACTTTTCCTATTCATCTACTTACTTATTAAAAGTTGTAACTGCACCTGCATCCACCACTTGCTCTGACAGTTCATTCCATCTCCCCTCATTTCTGTAACATCTTTTTCCTCTCACCTGAAAAAAAGTCCCTAGTTTCGAACTCCCCCATTTAATTTGTTCAAGTATATCACACTCCACCTCCCCGATTTCTAGACCCACATCATCCTTCTCTATTGTGAAGACAGATGCAAAGTACTCATTTAGAACGTCAGCTTTGTCTTCTGACTCCACACACATATCACTACTTCAGTCCCTAATTGGAGTTATTCTTTCCCGGTTATTCTCTTGCCTCATATTATACTTAGAAAATATCTTTGCATTTTCCTTAAAGTTAGCCACCAGTACTTTTTCCTGTCCCCTCTTCACTCTCCTAATTTCTTTTTTAAGCAACCCCCTGCCCTTTCTATACTGTTGAACAACAGCCACGATTTTGAGCATTTGCTATCCACCATAAGCTTTGTATTTGTTTCTAATCCAATCCTGTACATCCCTTAACATCCATGGTTCTCTGATGGTATCACACGTCACCTTTACAAGAACATGTTGGTCCTGCACTCCCACTGTTGTTCTTTTGAAAGTGTCCCACTGTTCTGTTGTGGATTTTCCTGTATTTGCTTCTAATTCAGGTTGGCCAGATCCTGCCTTATCTTATTAAAATCAATCTAAATTCAAAATCTTTAGAGTCATAGAGTCTTAGAGCTATACAGCACAGAAACAGACCTTTCAATCCAACTCATTCATGCCGACCAGATATCCTATATAAATCTAGTCCCATTTGCCAGCATTTGGCCTATATCCCTCTAAGCCCTTTCTATTCACAAACCCATCCAGATGCCTTTTAAACGTTGTAATTTTACCAGCCTCCACTATTTCCTCTGGCAGCTCATTCCATAAATGCACCACTCTCTACGAGAAAAAGTTGTCCCTTAGGTCCCTTTTAAATCTTTGTCCTCTCACCTTTAATCTATGCCCTCTACCCACCCTGGTGAAAAGACCATGCCTATGTACCCTATCCATGCCCATCATGATTTTATAAACCTCTATAAAGCCACCCCTCAGACTCCGATGCTCCAAGGAAAATAGCCCCAGCCTATTCAGCCTTTCCCTATAGCTCAAGCTCTCCAACCCTGGCAACATCCTTGTAAATCTTTTCGGATGCCTTTCAAGTTTCACATCATCCTTGCTACAGCAGAGAGACCAGAATTGCACGCAGTACTCCAAAAGTGGCTTAACCAATGTCCTGTACAGCCGCAATAGACCTCCCAAAGTCTATACTCAATGCACAGTTCTGGTCTGTCTTTGCCCTTATCTATTATTATTATCTTAAATCTTACTGACTTATGGTCACTATCACCACAATGCCACATCTACCAGTTTCTCAGCTTTGTTCCCTAAAATTATTTCCAGCACTGCTCTCTTCTTTCTACCTACTTGCTTAAAAGGCCCTCCTGGACAATTGTTAAGAATTTTGTCCCCTATCAATCTTTCACACCTTGTCTTTTCCTGATAATTTTGGGAAAGTTGAAATCCCCTCGTATTATTATCCTATTATCTTTACACTTCTCTTAGATTAGCCAACATAGGCTGGGGCTATTTTGATCTCTCTCTAACTTTTGGAATTCTATACTACACCCTTAGTACAGGGATTACCCCCTTTTTGTTTTAAGTTCTACCCATATGGCCTCAATGAGCAACTTTCTAAGTTATCACCCTTCCTTACTGTAGTAATTGCCTCCTTGATCAATATTGCGACACCACCTCTTCTTTTACACCTCCGCCCTATCTCACCTAAAGATTCTATACAATGAAATATTGAGCTACCAGTCTTGCCCCTCCCTTAACCAAGTGTCCGTGATAGCAATGATAACACGTCCCCATGCATTAATCAACATTTTCAATTCATCTGCCTTAATTGCAAGATTCTTTGCATTAAAATAAAAGATATCCAGACATGTCATACTCCCTTAACCTGACTGCATTTGCAGTGCCTTCTGACTTGGGTCTTCTATAATTGTTTGTGCATCATACCCGACCGTACCTCTACTCGGCATTCGTACCTCTGCCGATTAGTTTAATCCCCTACCAACTACACTAGCAAACCACCCTGCAAGGATGTTGGTCCAATTCTCGTTCAGGCACAACCTGTCACATTTGTACAGGTCCCCATCTTCCCAAGAAGTGAAACCAGTGATCCAGGAATCGAGAACCCTTCCTACTGCTTCAAATCTCCAACCATGCATTCATCTCTTCTATACACACCAGCATGTGGCAGGACTAAACCAGAGATTACAACTTTTGAGGTCCTGTTTTTTATTTTGCTGCCTAGTTTCCTATATCTTGTTGCAGGACCTCATCCCTCATTCTGCCTATGTCATTAGTCCCAATGTGAACCTGATCTCAGACTGTTTGCCCTTCAGCTTCAGAATATGATGTAGGAGAGGGCTGCCAAAAAATGTAACTATTTTCGGTGAAGACACTATGGGCATCATGGTGAAAACTTTCTTCGTGATCAAAGCGGTGTAGGACCCAAACTGGTCAAACTGCTCAGGTCTGCTGTTTTTAAAAAGAGTTCACCACATCTCTTAATGCTGCAGTAATGGGCCTCTGCCATAACAGGCTGTCAGAAGATTCTGAGATATGCAAAACTTTCAGAAATATTTTCAGAAATTCTGACTCTTGTACATAGGCCCCAGATTACAGCCCTGTGGACATTTCAACTTTGATAGAAGTAAATTGTTTGGTATTCAAAATTGTAGCTTTTTACATTCACTCATGGGATATGGGCATTGCTTGCTGGCCAGCATTTATTGCCCATCCCCAATTACCCTTGATAAGATGGTGTTGAACTGACTTCTTGAACCACTGCAATTCATGCTGCTACAACATCCATGGTTCTCTGTTGGTATCACCCTTCACCTTTACAAGAACATGCTGGTCCTGCTCTCCTACTATTGTTCTTTTGAAAGTCTCTCACTGCTCTGTTGTGGATTTTCCTGTAAGTATCTGCTTCCAGTCCACTTTGGCCAGATGGCTAAAAACCATCAAATGTACATGTTGCACTATAGAAGCTAATTTATCATTGTGGGTTCTCAGAACATTTGGACTTTCTAGAACAATCTTGAAAATTAATACTAATATTTTGCCTACCAATGCATGTTCTGCTGAGAGAGTTGTACTGATAGCCACTCTTGCAATCGCAGCGATAGCTCCCAGGTATGTTCTGACAGACTTGTCCTTCGCCACATCGATGCACTCCACTCTGACATTCATCAACATCTGTGCCAACAAAGATTCATAGATTTCACTACAGTTAAAAAAAAATTGACTCCATCAGTTCTTTAAACCACATTATGTGCTAAAGGATTGACATTTCAGCGATTCAAAAGTAAAGTTTCTTCCATAGTTCTAAAATATGACATGAGAATTCAGTGACTGGGTCCTTGCAGATTGTGCGAACTGTACTTACCAACACAATGACTACCATCAGGACTGGCATGATAACCCCTTCCACAGGTGATGACGGTTCTTTGGCATGTGTAAGATCCAATAGTATTTATGCAATTGAACCCAGGTTTGCAAGGCAGAGGTAAAGCAGTGCATTCATTAATGTCTGTAATGAAAATTAATATTAACAAATATTAATAAATAATCATGTTTTGCCATAAAATATCCATCACTGACATGCCTACATCAGTTTAATAACCCTTAAATAGTTCAGTAAAATGTTGAGTGGTGGCCCTGAATAAATGTTAAGACCATAAGACCATACAATGTAGGAGCAAAGGTAGGCCAATCAGCCTGTCTAGTTTTCTCCACCATTCAATGAGATCATGGTTGATCTGATTACCTTCAACTCCACTTTCCTGCCTTTTCCTTATTACATCTCCATTCCCTTACTGATTAAGAATTTAATCACAGCCTTGAATCTACTTAATGACCCAACCACTGTAGCATAGCATTTCACAAATCCGCTCTAAGAATCGAAATTCCTCCTCATCTCTGACTTAACCATGCAACTCCTTATTCTGACATTGTGCCCTCTGTCCCCAGAGATGGAAACAACCTTTCACCATCTACCCTGTTAAATCCCCTAAGAATCATGTATGTTTCAATAAGGTCGTCTCTCATTCTTCTAAACTTCAATGGGTGAAGTCCTAAGCTACTTAACCTCTCCTATTAGATAGTCCCTCCAAACTCAGAATCAACATAGTGAACCTTCTCCAGATTGCCAGTATATTCTTCCTTAGATAAGGGACCCAAAACTGTTCACAGTATTCCAGCTTTGGTCGGACTACATATTCAGTTCCATATTGTCGTTTTATCTAATAATGTGTACATAGCAATATTACACTATTTTGTTTCTATTGTTTCAACAAGACTGCTGCGCTTAGATTTTTCTCGTGACAAATAGTCATAGAATCATAGAATCCCTAAAGTGTGGAAGCAGGCCATTCAGCCCATCGAGTCCACACCGACCTTCTGAAAAGTATCCTACCCAGACCTAACCCGCCTACCTAGCCCTATAACCCTGCATTTCCCATGGCTCATCCACCTAGCCTAAACATCTTTGGATACTATGGGCAATTTAGCATGGCCAATCTACCTAATCTGCACATCTTTGGACTGCAGGAGGTAACCGGAACACCCAGAGGAAACCCATGCAGACACGGAGAGAATGTGCAAATTCCACACAGACAGTCGCCCAAGGGTGGAATTGAACCCGGGTCCCTGCTGCTGTGACGCAGCAACGCTAACCGCTGAGCCACAGTACCTAGTTACTGTTTTGATTTATGATTATTATGGTATTTGTACTTGCGCTAAAATAACACAATTTCATGACTGCACACCGATGCTTAAAAACAAACGTTGGAACCTACAGCTGTACAATATGCATTGAGGTTCATTCAGCATATGTAATACAAAGCATCATTACTCTTTGTTTTAAGTCTAGAGCTTTTATAAAGCATGGTGGATATTTTTCAGACTGGTTACTTTTTTTTACTCTAGCATAACAATGTAAAACACAAAATTTGATTGTGAATGACCCTGCCTTTGCAGCCATTAGTGAAATAATGGTGCTCACTGCTGCCTTTTAAAAATTGCCCACAAAGATCTGATGACCTCTGTGGCTTGGATTTGCCTGTCACAACTTTGTAATTATTCAAAGACTAAAAATTAAAGACTAGGATATGCACATGGGGATTAAGATAGAAACTGAATGAATATAAACATTTTTTTAAATCTGAAATTCAATTGAGAAATTTCATATTGTACAAATGTAAAATGGGTTTTCAGCAGTACAAAGGTATTTAGTAGTAATTAAGAAGTTAGTACACAGATATAAACCTAGTTACGCTGCATTTAACAAAACATAATGTTTTCAAGGGTTTTTACAGAAAGATTAATAGTGGAAGCTCAAGTCAGTTCAGACAATTTTGAAGGATTTCGCTCGGTGGTGGGTGGGGGGGTCTTCAACAGTGTGTGCAATGGAGAACTGGGAATCACTGACATCAACCTCTGACTTTCCACATAAAATGGCATATTTGTGGCCATCAGTTTCATAGTTGAACAATGATACATTCCAAGTCATTATGATGTCTAACTACCTTTTCAGTATTTTATTGAAATGATTTCCTGTATATAAGGCAGCAGTCATGCATATGCATGCCTGTGCACAATACTGCGGGATTACATTCATCAAGGGTATTGTGTTTGTGGAGTAATGTGCCTCAGATTTTATTCCTAAAAATCAGCATGCAATTAATCAAAACTATGCACATTACACCCAAATGCTACTTTTTCCCTTGGATGCTGACCAGTGCTGAGTGAAGGATTGGGTACAGCCCATTCCTGGGGAAAAAAGTAACAGCATTTGCATGCTTTTCTCTAAAAGAAAACGCGATTTTGTTTTGGTTGGGGGCAGAAGTCTGTTTCAATCTAAACAATTACATGTGATTTTCTCAGCGAAGTTACGATTTGCATAAAAGCAGCATTTTGCTTCAAGCTTTGGCTTGATTTTAAGTGTGCCAGGTGATAGGAATCAAAAGGCAAGACAGAGTCATGTCGCAGTGTCTCTGCACAGCTGCAGCATTCTGTAGGCAACTGATTCATTCAAAGTATCTGTTCCTTCTGAATTAACACTTCCATTGAAGGCAAATATTTGCTTCTCCGTGGAAATAAGGCTACATTTTTATGGTGGATTGAAAATATGCTCTATGCTGCTTCCAAGTGGGGTAGAAGCTGTCAACAATTTCACAACGGAATTATCTTAAATTTATAAGAATGATGTTATTTCCCAGTTGTTTCTGGAATGCATTTAGATGTACTGCTTCTTTGAATTCACAGTTCATCAAAGCTCGCTACCATGGTCCAAAAATAATTTGCCTTCACCTAAAGAAAACACCAGAAATTATTCTTCAACTGGTTTTTCAGAAAAAATCATCCACAATAATAATTTCATTTCAAGTAATTGCAATCATCACAATCACAAAGAAAGCATTTCAAAGGCGTAGCCAGGTCAATCTGTAGACATTTAGGCCTTGGCTACTTGGGTGTACCACAACAGCAGCTTAAGTGTTGTGGGGTGAAGGGTGGAGGGATGATTTGTTTCTGCATCATAATTTGAGTTTTAAAAATAATTTTTAAAATGGGATATTTTGGAACCCCCCCTGGGTTGAAGAATACCTAAGGTTTAAAGACCGCAAGTGGGAGAAATAGTAGTGCTTTCTGGAGCCGTTCTGTTAAATTAGAAGTAAGTTGAGAAATAATGAACACTGAACTAAATTGAAACAAACAGGTATCGGTATTATGTCATTATGAATTTATCAATTAAACGTTTGTTACGTTGAGTCCTTAAAATTTTTGATGTTGCTTATATCTCCAGAATTCAGCTTCACTGTAATCAGTGAAAGAAATTTACCTAATTCACTGTAAGCGTCTCAAAAGGTGCACTGAATGAGTTAACAGATTCAAATTCAACTGCTGGCTTTCGTTTTTACTAAATTACTTGAATGTACAATTCTATAAAATATTAAACTGGATTCAACTTTTAATTAATTTTGTCTCTTAAGCTTTCTTTCGGAAAGTCTATTACCATGGCAGATGCCTTGTGAATCCTGCAGAAATCCCTCAGAGCAACGCATTTTTAGATGACAACGGAATGACCCTGGAGTGTTCTGACATTCGTAATTTATTGCGCAGTTGTGATTGCCTCGCTCACATTCATTGATATCTGGAAATGGAAAAAAGAGAGTGCGTCAGCATCCAATCCTCAGCATTGTGTTAATCATGAAGCAAGACTGTGTTTATCTAATTCATTTTGCAGAAGGATGCTAGTACAAGAATTATCTAGGCACTACTAGGCCACTTCCCTTTACAGACATACAATAATAACAAGTAGCATGGAAGCAATTTATCGTAAGCAACAACACTAGGTAATGAAGAATTTTTTTTCCAGCTGAATGTTTTTCATCCTGGGACAGTGTTAATTATCTGGAATTGTTGCGAGGCATTCTTTATTAGCTAATTGGCACTTTCCTTGTGATGTGTTTCTATATTTGGCATTGTGTACATTTTTATGTGTGTAAAAGGATCAAAAAAGGTTTGATCATAGATAACGAAAATGAATTTTTAGTGAGGCATAGCAATTATGGTGCAGTCATTTTCCCTGATATCTTCTCACATGATTCAGTATCACATTGTGTTTTGTAACATTCCTGTACAACACCAAGGAATATTTTAATACATGAAAGGTCCTAAATTGTTGTTATTATTGGTGACATATTGCCAACAAAGCTGCTATCTATACTGATGCCTCAGGTTTCTGAGTTTTGCCTGTATCTGTCCATTCTGTTGACAGTATTCAGCCACAAGGTGGAGTTGGTAGTCTAATTTGAAAGTGAATGCAACTGCAGAACGCCTCACTAGGAAATTTACTTCTAAGACATTTGCCGCACTGGTTTAACTACAATCATTAAATATGTTTCTGGCAGACTATTGATTATAACAGTGTGAAATGTGGGTGTTTACATGGTGTGGAATGTGAACAATTATACGATGTGAAAAATGGGTGATTATACAGTATGAAATGTGGGTGGCCAAAATATAAAATTTCAGATTCAGCAAGTGCTGACATGCTACATAAGAAAACACATCATGCTGGACAGGATACAGCAGAGTGGTCACAATCGAGTCTGGGCTAGAAGCCTCAACATATAAATAACCAGTTATTTTTCAACATAGATAGGGTTCTCACCATCACCTTAGGTGAGCCCAAAGAAACAGGTAGAACCTTGTTAATGGCGTTTTATATTGCATGAGAGGAATTTTAATTGCCCTGTTGAGTGGAAATGCAACAGTGAGCAGTTAAAATTAAGCAGCTCCATTATCAACAATTCCGACTTTAACAGCATTGTTTTGCTAGACTTAGGTAGAGTGGAAATTTAGTGGACACACGCCAACTTGTGTGCTGTGATGTCAATGGGAGTCTATGGATTTTTTTCCCTGACTCAAGTGGAGGAATTTGCTGTATATCTCCTATCAGGTAGTTGCAGACTGGTAGGTGCCAGGAATAACAAAGAGATACTCCAGCCAAGTGGAAAAAGTTCCTTTCTGAGGCACCAACCATTCTTTTGTGCTAGATAAGGCAGCAGCTACTGGAGTGTTCCCCCACGATCCCCACTGGCTTTGTTTAAGTAGAACTGCCTTGATTAGTGAAATACCGCCTTAATGTCAAGAGCAATCACTCTCACTTCACAAATGAAATTCAGATTGTGTTCATCTGGTTGTATTAAGATCTGGAGCTGGCTTGTCCTGGCAGAACGAGCATCATTGAACAGATTATTGGTAAGTAACTTGATACCAATACTAAAGGCTTCTATTGACAACCATCTGCAAGTTGGGAATCTCTTGATAGAGATACCTGCCTTGTACAATGTTGTACTTTGTGTTGAGCAATTTTGCACATTAATGGGTTGATGTCAATGCTGTATTTATTCTCAAACACCTTTACTGTCAAACAAAAACAGGAATCACTGGGGAAACTCTTCAAGTCTGGCAGCATCTGTGGGTAGAAAACAGAGTTAACGTTTCAAGCCCAATCACTCTTCATCAGAACTGTGCACCTGATGAACAGTCACTGGGATGTGAAACATTAACTCTGCTTTCTCCCTACAGATGCTGCGAGACCTGCTGAGTTTCACCAGTGATTTCTGTGTTTGGATCAGATTTCCAGCAACCGCCGTTTTTGGTTTTACCTTGGATGGCAACACAGCTGGTTCTAGAATGCACAATTTCAGCCCTGCAGCTGGGATGTTGTCAAGACCTGCAGCCTGTACTGTGTACACTGTACTCTGCTATTTCTTAGTGTTACATGGAGTGAATCACAGCACAGTGGTTGTAGACTGACAACTATCATCTACTCAGCACCTCTGACTGAAAATGATTTCTCACCACTTAGCATTAATGCTCTCTGCCTTTGTTGAAAAGGGAATATTCACGAGTCTTCCTGGTTCTGTTAGATGCTTAACTACCCGCCACAACTGACAACTGGATTGTGGACTTAACTCATTTATGGAGGGACCACTTAACTCTATTTACAGTGTGTTGGGTTGCTACTTAGCATGCATGTAGTCCTGTGTTGTCACTTTACCAGGTTAGCACCTCATTTTCAGTTGCGCCAGTTGCTGTTCCAGGCACATTATTCTACATGTAAATGTAAATTCAGTAATTAACGTTAACTTATAGAATGATCACGTAATTGAATTCAGCAAAGAAAAAGTCAACAGATTAAGAACATTAAATATTAAAGTACTTCAGACTTATTTCAAACCTTGGCAATGATCATCCACTTGTTCATAGCCTGTTCCACAAGTAATCGTTTTCTGGCATTTAAAGGAACCAATTGTATTAATACAGGTTTCCCCAAATTTGCATTTCTGGGTCTCCAACAAACACTCATTAATGTCTGCAGGAAAACATTACAAAACAAATTGTCAAAATATTACTCTCATATTTCCATTTCTCAAGTTACAAGTAATTGCAATCATGATAATAAATGTGGAAGGTGCTTTTTACATCCAAGCTGAAAAGTTGATAAACCATACCCTGGTGTAGGAGATAATTCAACATTTCACAACAGGTAAAAGTGCACTGGTGATGAAGGAGCCAATGCTCATTTTCCTTTGGATTTGGATCGATACAGCAGCTGTATAAACAGCAAACTGCATAAATGCTACCAGTCTGTCTGTACATGCTAGACAGCTTTTGCATGATCCACATTATTATTGTTTGTTTCAAATGGAGTTTTTGTGTAGTTCTAAGTCAGTGATTGGCTACTTTTTAAATATATTACAGTCTGATGTTGAAAATACCATTTAGGCTAAATGGTCTGTAGAAGGTAAGGTCATAAGTCAGGCTGTGTTTTAGAAACTACGCGCAACAGACTATAAAAGATTTAGTCTATTGGAGCTTCCATTTGATGGTAAAACTCCAAAAAATTTACTTCCCACAGTAACTATTTTCATGCAGTAACATCCAGTCAAGTAGTTTTCAGCTCGATTCTACAATACATCTATTGTGCACTTATATGCACATAAGTGTGCTTCTGTGTATGTACATAGAATAGAGATTTAAATAAACAATGTTTAAATTTAGTGCACAGGTCAAGAATTAATGTAAAAATTCAATCATTTCTAAATCTGCAGACTGTAACAATCAGCAAGGACTCAGCAAGCAGCCATCTGGCAGTAAAATCTGTTCAGGCTTACGGAGCAACTTCAGATAATACGTTGATAATGAGCTTGGGTGTGGAGTTAAATATGACTGCTAATCTAAAGAAAAGCAGAAATTAAAAAATAAAAAAGGTAATAAACTTATATTTATTGATCTTTAGCTTAGGTTAAACTGGAAATGTTATCATTGGTATCACTTAAACCACAAAACATTTAATTCTTATTCAATAATTTGTAAAATAGAGAGATGTCGGCACCATTTTTCCATCTGGCTGACTGTGTATAGTTTAGAGAAGGACCTTCTGTGATCAGCAAACAGTATGGCTAATGTAAGTGATGTAAAATTCAGGTGCTGACAAATACTTATGGATTTGTTATGCTTAATTTGCTTCTTTTAAAAAAAAATGTCCTTCCTCTGGGAAAAGGAAAAGCAATATTGAGAATTACTTCATATAATTTCATGGTACAAATAAAAGTGAAAGTATTTCTCATTCTGCAGCTGAAATAACCACAAAATTGTGATTTGCATTGCAGCATAACTCATTTAGTAAAATAAACATGTTTGCAATTTGCAGTAATTGAACTTAGCAGAGCTGAAATTACAATGCAGAGGCAAATGAATACCTTCTCAGTTTCTTTTGGGTAGAAACGATTTTGCAATACTGCTGTAATACCAATATGATGAAAACCAGATGGGTGGTCAGAGCACTGTGGAAACATTTTCATGTCCCTACTCGTGAGGTCACAGTTATTTGTCGACATGGACTGGAACTACCCTCATATTAGTTGGTTCGTAGACTCCACACTCGAACCTTCCCATCTCACTGGCAGCCCGATATAACTTTTTTTTTCCCCTGCATTAAGTAATGGCAGCCTGTGCAATTCTGCTATTATATGAAGACTTTTATAAATCTATTCACATTGCTGGTTATTGTACAAGCTACAACCCACACATAGTGCTTCAATTCCAGACGCAAGTTCTAATTACATTTGATTCTTGTTCAGTAATCTGTGAAGTAATGAAACATTGATACTCGTTCCCCATATGGCAGACATCTTAAGACCTGCATATTTTTGAACACCCATCTGGTATGAATTGACCTTGTATTACGGCAGCATTGTAAATTCACTTTTACTATCGTAATTGTGAAGAGATTGATCGCGTTCACATTTTTGTAGCAACACAAATTACAAATGTACTTCTTTTATTGAACAGGCTATGTCACAATTCAATCTGTACATAAGTAAGATTTGAGCATCAGTTTCATTACTGTTCAGCTGCTGCAATAAACAAGTTTATAATCAAACCAATGTAGCTAAGGAATCATACAAATATCCTTACTTACTGGCATATTAACCCAAGTTTAGGATTGAACTGTATTTCATGGTTTTCAAGTGAGCAATTACCACTGAAGAACTGAGAACCACCTTAATTATGTCAGAACATCAATTGTACACATAATATTCTTGATTGAACTAATTTAAGTGCAATCTCATAATAATAAAAACTGATCATTTACTAATCTTTTTAATTAAGGTGTGTAGCAAGAATTTTGAAAAACTGCGATATGGTACACGTTTTCACTTGTGAGGTGATCTTTACTCATTCACAGTTTTGTCAACTGTTAGTTGTTCAGTTATAAAAACAGAAATTACTGGAAAAGCTCAGCAGGTCTGGTAGGGGCGGCACAGTGGCTCAGTGGGTAGCACTGCTGCCTCACAGCACCGGGGACCCGGGTTCAATTCCACCCTCGGGCGACTGTCTGTGTGGAGTTTGCATATTCTCCCTGTGTCTGCGTGGGTTTCCTCCAGGTGCTCTGGTTTCCTCCCACAGTCCAAAGATGTGCAGGTTAGGTGGATTGGCCATGCTAAATTGTCCATAGTGTTCAGAGGTATGTAGGTTAGGTGGGTTATATGGGTCTGGGTGGGATGCTTCAAGGGTCAGTGTGGACTTGTTGGGCCAAAGGGCCTGTTTCCACACTGTAGGGATTCTATGACCTGTGAAGAGAAATCAGAATTATTATTTTGAGTCCAGTGACCCTTCCTCAGAAGTTTTGTAGAATCCCCCACAGCGTGGAAAAAGGCCATTCAGCCCAACAAGTCTACACCAGCCCACCAAAGAGCATCCCACCCAGACCCAGCCCCCTACTCTATATTTCCCATGGCTAATGCATGGTAGTTTAGCATGGCCAATCCACCTAATCTGCACATTTTTGGACTGTGGGAGGAATTGCAGCACCTAAAGGAAACCCATGCAGAAACTGGGAGAACATGCAAACTCCACGCAGTCAGTCATGCAAGACGGGAATCAAATCTGGGTCCCTGGCGCAGTGAGGCAGCAGTGCTAACACTGAGTCACTATGCCATTGTTCAGCCATTTGATTTAGAGAAAGGTTTATACTCCTTCATGGGATGAGAGCACCACTGGCAAATCCAACATTTGTTGACCATCCCTAATTGCCACAACCAAGTGGCATGTTAGGCTATTTCAGAGGGCTGTTAAGAGTCGGCCACATTGTTGAGGATCTGGAGTCACACATAGGGTACAGCAGGTGAAGATGACAGATTGCCTTCTCTAAAAGACAAAAATGAAGCAGATGGATTTTTGCAATGATTGTTGATAGTTTCATAGTCACCGTTACTGAAACTAGCTTTTAATTCTAAATTTATCAACTGAATTCCACCAGCTACTGTGATGGGATTTGAACCTAAATCCCCAGAGTTAGTCTGTGGAGTTCTAGTCCAGTGACATTATCATTCCCTTTTCTGTAGGCAGCAGGGTCCACAATTGAGACAAGCAGCAATGGCTTACAGAGGTGATGTAACCATGCCTCTTTAACCACATGAGCTGAAGTTGGGATCCCTGAGGTGGTCTTCACCTCAATGGCAGGTATGGTTTTTATTGATTATTTTTAATATTTTCATAGAATCCCTACAGTGTAGAAACAGGCTCTTCGGCTCATCAAATCCACACTGACCCTCAGAGCATCCCACCCAGACCCATCGCCCTATAACCTGCCTAAGCTACACATCCCTGAACACTACGGGCAATTTAGCATGGCCAATCCACTTAACCTGCACATCTTTGGACCGTGGGAGGAAACCGGAGCACCCGCAGGAAACCCACACAGACATGGGGAGAATGTGCAAACTCCACACAGACAATCACCCGAGGGTGGAGCTGAATCCAGGTCCCTCGCGCTGTGAAGCAGCAGTGCTAACCACTGAGCCATTGTGATCAGTTATACCATGTTTTGAAACTGTAAAACATTTCCATAATTGTTTCAAAGTTTACTGAGATTTGTATCCTGGCCAAAAATGCCATGCAGCTCCGAACACCAACCCCCCTCCTCCACAAAGATCTGATTACCCTTTTCCCTCACCACCTGCACCTGCCTGTATATCCAGCTCCTCTCCCATCTTCACCCCTCCCCAAAATCCCTTCCTCCACTTCAAAAGCATTTCCAAATCCTCTCTCCCCTGTACCTTGAAGGGAGAAAAGATATGGGAGTACCTGAAGCATGGGGACGGAGCTGGGAGTGGGTTAATGCAATTGGGGAGATGTATGGACATCAGTCACGGCCTTTTCACTCCTTGCCTGGGGCTGTCTGATTAGATCACTTAAGGGGTTGAGCCCCAATCAGTGAATCTAGTCCACCCATAGAAGCTAAAGGGAGAGAAGGGTGGAGGTGATAAGGGGGCAATGCTGCTATGGGTCGGCAACTTGGGAACCCATTCAGTGGGATCAGGGTTAACAAGCCAAGGGAAGGGGGGATAATAATTGAGAAGGGGTACCACTATATTTGTAAAGGGAGGCAGTATATGGTTAGACATGATCGGAACAGGATCATATGGGAGAAGGTCGTCCATGGTCAGTGGTAACCTTACTCTAAGGAGGGGTGGGAATGGTACTGTGTATGACCACACCTGGAATGGTCACCTCATATATGCCACGGGAAAGTGGGAAGCTGCTGGCTCAAGTAAACGGATTGATTGGGCTGCTGGAAATGTACAAAGCCGATGGTGTTCATGGGAAGAGCTATCAGGAAGGGGATCTGCATATTCAGTTCCTCACTGACAAGCAGAAGCTGGAAGCCATTGGCCAAAGAGCGCTACAAGTTATACTGAGAACAGGATGTGCTAAACTGGGAACAAAACGTGAAATTGCTTGAAAAACTCAGCAGGTTTCACAGCATATGTGGACAGAAATCAGAGTTAAAGTTTCAGGTCCAGTGACCCTTCTTCAGCAGTTCTGAGTTTTTCCAGCAATTTCTGTTTTTGCTTCTGATTTCTAGCATTTGCAGTTTTTTGGTCTTTTTTTTTTGAGTGTGATAAAGTGGGATGGAATCAGATATGAGGATACCAAAGTCTGGGTTAATAAGCCAAAAAATAGAGAGGAATCTCAATGGGTCTTGTGGCAAATAACGCTCCAAAAAAAAAAAAAACTCAACACAATCCTCCTTAGCCATTGAGACATCAGATTTATGCCATAGTCTCTAACAAGGTTCGGACACCCCAGAATGTTTCACAGTTAAGGAAGTCTTTTGCAAGCAAAGTCAATGTTGCAATATAGCAAAATGTATCTTAAAATAAAATGTTTTTGGCTTACAGCCTCTCAGGAATGCTCAAAATCTCCACATCTCCTGCTATAACATAGCTACAAAGAATCCCCATTAACAGCACCACAAAGGGCCATTTAAGACTGTTTCTCAAACTTTCACTGATCTGCTGCCAAGGCTATAGCAGGCAATTGGGGCAGGCCCGGCAGAAATTCTGGACAAATTATGTTTCAATCTGATATCTCTAATTCCATGTGGAACAGCAGCATAGACTTCTATTCGGATCAGTAAATAAGCAGCAGACAACAGTTTGAAGGTTACAAGCACTAGGGCTTTCTATTCTTACCAACACATTTGTCATTTGCATTCCGGATAAAGCCATTCTCACAGATCTTTGCAGGGACACAGTGGAATGATCCTTCAGTATTCACACAGGATTCTTCTCTTGAACAGTTGTGCGAGTCCATTATGCATTCATTCACATCTATAATCAATAAATTATGGCACACAATTTTATTTAAAATTACAGTATCATTAAATAATTACAAACAAAAAGGATAAAGTCTCTGTGCAATATTTGTCGTAACATATAATCTGCCTTAACAACCTCCAGCAAAGAAATTCAAATAATAACTTCAAACTAACCAAAGATTTGCTATTATCTTTTATATTTTGCAGAATGTAACCATGCATTTACCTTCACATGAGAATTGGTCAGCCATCAGTCTGTAACCAGAGAAACAGGAACAAATAGTATTCTCTCCAATCTGTGTGCAATGGTGCATGCATGGACTCGCATCTGTAAGAAAAAACGCTTACTTTAACATGGGGAAAATGGATGATGCATCCAAGTTAACTCTAAGCGTTTCTTAGAACTTTTGTTTGGAAAAATGTGTAGTGTAATGCTACATATTCTTAATAAAAATTCAATTGTGCCTACATACCAGCAACTTCTAATCAGCAGTGATGTATGATGATGTGAATGATGATTGTACACAGAACTTTGGCGAGAGGCTAAATAAACTCCAGATTTTTGAGTCTCAATGTTATTTTCTGGTCTGAATTCACGATGGAGACAGCAGCATAAGCTTCAAGCTCATTTGGCCACAGTGGAGCCTGAACCAGTCCTGCTTGATTCTGCTGGGAATCAGTACCTGCCAATGGTCACGAGCAGGATTTCAGGGTGGCAGAATATTGCCAGCCATGAGCTACAGGAATAATGTTCAGCAAACTGTAACTAGGAGGAAGGAAAGGGTATTTGTGAGGAAAGTCCAATGCTTCCTTTCTTTTTTCCTGGAAAAGCACTTTCTTTTATGCCTGGCCCACAAGGCAACCAACAGCAATGTAAAAATTGCTCTGATCCCGACTGGGCCTGGCATGTCCCTCTGGTGAGCCTGGTATTGGCCATGGGTCTTGCCACTGCATTTTATCACTACATTAGAGTCCTGTTACAGCGAAAATATCCATATACTCATGAATGCCACACCAAAACAGAGACAGAATGTTGCCTCTAATTTACCAGTCTTCATCATGCCATTATTATCAGATAAAAAGGGAATTAAAAGCAGCCCTTTGAAGTTGGTTTGAACCTTTCTCATAAGATTTGACAATCAGGAGAACTATTATTTTGACTAAAGAAGGGTCACTGAACTCAAAAGTGTTAAAAGTGTTTTCTCTCTGCAGATGCTGCCAGAGTCTCTCTGGCAATTTCTGTTTTTCATAGATCCATAGAATCCCTACAGTGCAAATGGGCCTTGCGGCCCAACAAGTCCACACTGACCCTTGTAGCATCCCACCCAGGTCCATCCCGCTATAACCCACCTAATCTACACATCCCTGAACACTGCGGGCAATTTAGCATGGCCAATCCACCTAGCCTGCACATCTTTGGGCTGTGGGAGGAAACCAGAGCACCCAGAGGAAACCCTCACAGACACAGGGAGAATGTGCAAACTCCACACAGACAGTCGCCGGAGGGTGGAATCAAACCCAGGTCCCTGGTGCTGTGAGGCAGCAGTGCTAACCACTGAGCTACTGTGCCACCCTTTAGTTTGTTTCAGATCTCCAGCATCCGCAGTTCTTTGTTTTATACTATTTTAACTGTCATTGGCAATGACAATCATATATAGTTATTCCAATATCAGAAAGGTGATGGGGGAGGTGGTGCAAAAGAGAGAGTCAGATGACAATGAAGGAGAATTGCATTTATTAAAATAAAGTGTAGAAAGTTATGGCACTAATAAACTCACTCTTTCTTTCACCTTTTTGACTATGAAGCCTTGAACCTTAAAGTCCCTTACATCCACCATAGTCCATATAACATCAGTATGACATTTCTATACACTCACTATCCTACCCTTTGCAAAATTCAAACAAAGACTTTCCCATAACAACTAAAACAATGGGGTACAAACTAACTTAATTTAACTTGTTAACATTTTCATTGCACTACAGACATTCATCCATCTCTGGGGGTATAGTGAACCTTAAGTTATGGAAGATATTCAACGATATCCCGATTTGATGTGTGCACTTTATCCATGTTTTTTTTTTACAAATCAGTTTTTGCTTCTTCAATGACACATGTTCAATTGACATCTTTCCATTAAACCCTATATATATTTGAAGTTCTACTGAACAAAATAGAAGTTACACCTACTGAGCATGCTATAAATCAATAGGTCCTTCTTCCATTATTATTTGACAATATTATTCTTAATACAAGCATACCTCCACAGCGATCCATTTTAACAGATGGTCCAGTTTGTGATATTTGAGTAGTCTTTGCTTCTGTGAAACTGTCTTCCTCATCTTCATACTCTGTATCAAATAGCAATACATAGGCCATGAAATAAATGAGCTTAACATCTCACTATAAAATTCAGTCATCAAAGTATGTTGTATGATTGCGATATCAGCAATTTCAAGATAATTAGTTTAAAAATACCACCGGTTGAATTCTCCCAGCCTCTGAATGACGAGTCAATTGGGATTATATGGTGAGATCAGAAAAATCGGATTCTCAATATCAAGAGAAAGAATTCCAATTTTGCAATCAATGTTTGAACTGCAGGATGCGAGGCTCATTTGTAAGCAATACGAGGTCCATCTGCATATATTAACATCTCAGTATTTCCTATTCTCAACTCACATACGCAGTTGGCTGGTCTCCCTCGGCAGCAGAGATAAACCAGATGGCAACAATTCTAACTTGAAAGTCTGAATGAACCTGGCAACTCGTGCTCATTGCTTGCTTCTCTGGGCCAGGCATTTATGTTGGCCAGCATTCACCAACGCCTCCTATAATTAGGACGTCCTACATTGTTTATCTCTGGAGATTGGTATCAGGCATTCACCACATACGATACAATGCATTGTAATGTTGTTGCCATGCCACTTGTGAGCATAGACAGGTACCCATTTTATAGATTGCAGCAGGGTGCAACTCATGGTTCTTAGCTTGCACTCTTAACTCTCACTCACTTTGCACCTAGTTGGATATACACAGCATTTCTCCCTTGCCATGCCATGCCTTTTTAAATCCTGCCACTTCATTCACAACCACAGATTTACAGTGCTTCTGAATTGCCTTGCCTTTCAGTACAGAAACTTGGCAGGTAGGTTTTCATTTTTGCCAATAAGATATGTCAAGAGAGTGGACATGTTGCTGTACAGCACCATGTTATGTCAGTGTCACACCTGCAGCATGTCCCAGCTATGCATTTGGCAAACCCACAACATGTGCTTTAACCAAATGACCATATCTCAAAAGTCTAAGGGGAGTAGTCTCCAGTGAAGTCAATGGGGATGGTCTTCACTCAGTGGGTACTGGTATAGACCAGTAAGGGCATCATCCAATATCAATCCAGGGACTTGGTCATTGGCCAGTCAGGAGTTTGGGCTGATTAGGGTCAGGGAATCAGTGTCACCACAGTCCAGGGAGTGGGCCACAGTCAATCCTGCATGTATAGTGCAACCAGTCCAGACAATAGCAGTGACACAGTCAGGAAGCTGAACAGAGATTACTCAGGGGTCTGGTCATCTATCAATTGGGAAAGTCTTTTCAAGTTGTTCAGTCGTTCAGCAGACCATGTTCAGTCCAGGAAGTCAGTTCACTGAAATTTAAGGAGGCAGGGCATTATCAAAAGCCAATGTTGTGGTGAGGGTGCTGGGGAAGTCAATTCTGGGAAATAGAAGCGGCATCCTGAAATGCAGTAGGGACAATATCAGAGTGGGAAATGGTAGACCATTGGAGATGAAAGGAGTATTGCAAGTGGAGTCGTCAATGGTCATCACTACTCTGGCTTCATTGGAGGATTGTGCCTGACTATGGTGGAACTAAGCTGTATGTCTGGGGCTTGGGATAAAGTGAGGAGATGAAGAGATAAATAAGAATTGAGTGGGAACATAGGGAAGATCAATGTCAAAGGGGCTGACAAGGAGGGTAAGGTATAAAGGAACGTTTGTGGGGGAGGATCATCTACATTGCGAGGCTGAGTCTGTGACTCACTCCATGACGTGCTACCTGTACTGCCTTCCATCGTCATTCAAACTACAAATGTACAATCAAAATGAATATGGTTGCCATCACACCGAGAGTGGACAGAAGAAATGATTTTTTCAAAGGGGGAGAGTGGGCTCTACTTTTATGTGATATTAGGCCCTCAAAACGGGCAACACCATGAAACAGATACTCACACAGTTCAGGATAAGCACTTCCTAAAATCCTGACTGCAAACAAGTTTGACTATATCATTCAACATTGCAAATTAATCCTACTAATGGCTGTAAAACACAAATAGTATAAGGTGAGCTGTAAACATTCATCCTAGTTCTCAAAAGTCATTTCACCCTCCAATGACCCAAAGCGTACACAAAATAGAGAAGCTGCTCGCTCCACTCCTTGGACAATAAAATGTCCACGCCATTAACCTACATACACTGCTGCCTTTCTCGGCTAATGTTTGAGAAAGAGGCAGTGATTCTATACTCTGTCTAGAGACAGATGTCAGAATGCCATGCCATAAGGCCCAGCATATCTGCAATGCAACAACATCTTCCATTGAGACCAATGGAGGCCATAAGTTGACTCCTCCACATTAGGTTATCAGGCAGAACATGTCTGGGGCTCATCGTAATGCAGTACAGACAGAAACATTGTTTAATCCTGATATTCTTTGCACCAGACAATTGGAGGATACAATGAGGCTGTGCAATGAACCACGAGGATATACAGCAGCTGCAACAGTGTACTGAGTAAGAGGATAGGGACGTTCTTCAGAAGGAACAGCAACTTCAGCATCTGACAGCACAGCAGCATTGGCTAAAGAAACCCAGGCAGGCCTTCTTTGTGAATTTCATTCAAAGGAACTGAGTTGCGTGAAGTCATCTTCGAATGACCTTATTTTGACACTGCAGAGGCCAGCAGGCCTGTACAGTCTGAATTGTAAATACAGCTTACTGGTTTGATATTTTTATACTTTTCTTGTTGTCTTATAAAAGTTAAGGTTACAAACTGACAAAAGCCTCCACATCTTCTGACTCTTCTTCATTCCATCACAAAGTTTCACACTAGTATGGGAACTGTGGAAAGGATAGCTGTCATTCAAACATCAAGTAGCATTAAGGATGGCTAGGCCCTCTACATTCAATTTTGTAGCAACCAAGTCATTCATTTTATTGTAACTGTCCAATCATTGGACAAGGGTTTATGTAACTTAAACAGATTTTAAATTGGGCCTGCAGTTAATAAGGATAAAATTTCTCTCATTAATTCAGTTGGAAAAGTTGAAAATATATTGGGAATTTAAATATGTATAAAATAGACTTCATCCCACCCCTTCTTTGTACCCTGCACATTTTACATTCTTACTGGGGCAATATGAATGTTAAATATTATCTGAACATTACAGGTAACTAGACCATGAGGAAACAGAATGCCAGGAACATTATGTAAGGTTTTAAAACATGTATCACAATTGTATAGAAAACATGATTCATTATTACAGATATGATTTCTTCCAGATAAGTAAGGAGGGAAATTATAACAGAAATCAAGACAAAATTATGTTAGCTCATTTGAAAATTGACACACTAATTAAACCAAAGAGGACCTTCTGTGCATAATTAGATTGCATCAGGATTTGTTGAACTGGCTCCACAGTTTACTCACTATATTCACCCAATAAATAATTACACTGGGTTCATAGGTTAATTAAAGATAAAGATATACAATACATGTGGAAAGAGACCCTTGTCATCCCACAACACAAAGTTCCAGCTAGGGACCTTTCAGTGGTTTTGTGGTTTTTATCTCTACTACTCTATCTGAAAATATGTTTCATAAACATAAAGTGTTTCATAAACATAAAGTGTATCATTTGTAAGAAGAATTTCCTGATATCAGTGTTAACTTTATCTCTTATTAGTTGAACTCTATACATTAGTTTGCTTTATTTTTAGCTTAATTTTTCTGAACAACCCTAAAAATTTGTACACCTCTAAAAGAAACCTAAGCCACATATCTCCCAAACAGAAAAACCCAAGTCAATTTATTCCTTCCTTTATGGCTCAAAACAAATGGAAAATGTGCTTTACAGGGCCAAATGTAACTGAAGAGTGACACCGAGAAATTCAGTGATTTGGCTATTCGATCAGAGTTGAAAAGCTATTGAGATATCTTCTAGAAGAAAAATTGAGGGCATCAGAAAGCTAGGCTGAGGGGTAATTGGATGATGGATGTCATAGACTGGTTGCAGACGAGCTACTGTGGATATATGAAGTTGGTCAAGGCAGACAAGCATGGCATATCATTTCCTGGCAGGAGTAGCTACAGCAGCAGTCAACTCAGGCCCAAATACTGGACATTAGCTTCCTTTTCCATTTCTGCAATACCTCCAGTACACAAACAACTCTCATCTGTTGGCAATTAGAATTAGATAAAGTATTCAAGATGCAAACTTCACTGAATGTTGTACAGTTTAAGCATTAACTCATCTGTTTTATGTTCTATTTTATCTTTCTAGACCAAAATTGCATTGACTCTGTTCATTGCTATTCTGCATCTATTGGACATATGTAATGTTGATTAAACTGAAGACTTCCAAGTCACTTTCTACTTTACTCTCAGCTATTTCATCTCACCTACTTTTCCTTCTTATGCATTGCTCCTTACAATTCTCTGCATTTTTTTTTGGCTTATCATTCTGTTTGCTTATAATTTGTTCTATAATTTGCTTTATAATTTGCTTATAATTTAAATTCACCAGATAATTTCAAAGCTGTCTCTTCTCATTACACAGTCCATCTTTGGTATTATTTACAGTTGTGAGCAGTTTGCATTGAGTTTATACATCTGGATCATCTATGTAAATTAGAAATAGTTCTAGATCTGTAATGCAGTCACTAAACATGCACCTCCAACCTGAACCATTCAATAAAATCATGCTGACAGTACTCATTGGAATGAGATTTCAGTCTTCCTGTCTGGTGGAAATGGGACAATACTACTTCAAAGGTAGCCACCTAAATTAAGATTGAGGATATTGCAGCCCTTATAACATGCATTAAGTAGCCCTCAAGAAGAATTTGGCTTTCAAATGATCTTAGCATTTGTCAAGGAACCTCCAATTAATTCTCCTATCACAGATGACATTTTCAGGTGTTGGCACAGGGGTTCTTGTAAAGAATAATAGATTGCAGGTCTACTTTTAATGCCTGGCACAAATGAAACCTTGATTTACCTCCTCTGAAGTAAGGCTATATGTGTTAATGGACCATAATTTGCTGTGGCAGGGAATCCAGCAGTATTTGCCAATTGTTAGACTTGCCCCTGCATATTTAGATATTAACATTTTTTTAACATCACAAGTTGCTGGAATTGGCAGTTGATAATATCTCAGTGAGGGATACCAAGCATTCAGAAACTTAAATCCGGAGGAAGAGGAACTATATTCTTAAATAAATAGTGCATAAACCAAGAAGGAAAAGTGAATTAGAGTAGATGAATTCAATGCAAACCCAAAACAGCAAGAGAAATATAGAGGCGGAAGAAAGATGAGCTGGAGAGAGAGAGAGAAAGAAAGTAAAAGTTAAAAACATTGAAAAATTAATGAATTATAGATTTTTGAAATAAACAATAATTAAATGCTGAAGAAAAGAGACTCAATTGTAATAGTTAATTTTCAATGTAAAATATAATTTAGCAGTAATTATTATTGATCGCATTGTTCAAAGCAGGAAAGGAGTGAGGTTAAAAGATTTGTGACAAACTAAGTTTATTTCCACCTTGCAAATGCAGCACCTTCACACTACTCAATGCATTTAATCATGAGTCAGACAGCAAAGTAACATTTTCAGCAGAGCTGCATAACCCAGCCTGTAGTCTTTGAGTATTATGTTTAACCACACACCTGACCCTCACCTGCAGTTGCTGTGCAATTTAAACAGAAATAACAGTAAATGCCTCTAGCCTCATTGTAATTTTGATCGCAAAATCAAGACCATTGTCACAGGACTGAAAACACTCAGCATGTAGGCTCGCAATACTTTTAAGCTTTACAGTCGACCTTTTTGATACATATGATCATTTTGTTAAGTTAACTGAGACAAGTATCATGCCATTGGTACCCTAGTTAACATATAATTATTTGTTTATAAAATATTTTATGTACTACACTTATGCACTATGCCTAGCAGTGAGAAGTTGCATATTTGTGCAAACACAATGAATGCAGTAAAGCTTCTGAGATAAATGTTTCTCCCATTTTACTCAATACATTAAGAAATAATAATGGGTAAGACAAAACAAAACTCCGTAGTCTCCAAACATGGTGAAGTTGCATCAGTGTTTCTTAATAACGTTCAACATTATTTATTCTTGCAACATTTTTGGAAAGGTTTGTTACAAAATCATAGAGACATTCAGCACAGAAACAGATCATTTTGCCAATTATGAATGTGCCAACTCTGAGCATTCAAAATGAGTATCTTTGCTTTGGAAGCATAAAAGTTAGCGACAAGTTCATAGCATTGTACCCTAGTCTTAAGCCAATTGAGAAAACTGCCTCAAAATATTTAAGTGACAGTCAAAGTCTTTTGAATAAGTAAGTTTTCTTCTCCAGTCCCTCCTTCTGGGTTGGATATAAACCCATGACACCCAGGAGCTGAACGATATGACATTTTGTGGATGTGTTAGGGTTCTTAACTGTGTGTGGGCAGCCTCAAGCTGTTTCCCACTACTCATGCATTTAGAACAAAAACCTGCCTTTACAATTAAGAATTGGCAATCTTGCCACTAACAAAAAAAAAAGATGTTCAAGATAACACAGCACTCTCTAGGCAAAATTATCTATTTGGTTTTATGTAGATTACAAAGGAAAAGGCAATTACTTAGGGCAAAACAAAAATCTCCAATTGTTACCAGCTGTCTGGCCATAATACAAATCTTAATTCTCGTCAACGTACATCTTTGCACATTCTAAATCTTGGAGAGGAAAACAAGTACAATTGCTCTAATTTCTGTTAAAAAAAAAACAGTGAAGACTACATTTTCTGAGTTATTCCTTACAGATTTTGAGTGAGCAGGGAACTGGTAAGATTTTTTGGATCTTTACCCTCTTCCACAAGCCCAATTTTGTTTGTTCTTTAATGGCATATTGGCATCACTGTAAGGACCCCATTTGTTGCCCATCCCTAATTGCCCTTGAGCTGAGTAGCTCTTTATGCCATTTCAGTGGGGAGTTAAGAGCCAACTATATTGCTGTGCATCTGGAGTCACATTTACAGCCTCCAAACAGTTCTGAGGAAGGGTCACCAGTCCTGAAACATTAATTCTGATTTTTTTTCACCACATATAGTGCTAGACCTGCTTAGCTTTTCCAGAAACTTCTGTTCTTGATCTAAATAGGCACTGCAGATTTCCTTATGATCCCAGCAAACATTAATACTGGACAAGGCAGATTCCAGAAGAAACCTGGCTTGATAAATCATTAGTTTAATTCTTGCAGTTTGTTACTGTGGTGGTTATTCACTAAACATATTCTCACAAGGCTGCAAATATTCTTTAAGAATACAAGTTTATTACACAGAGGAAAAAATCAAAGCTAAAGGTAGTTTCAAAAGGTCTTAAACAGCAAAACAAAGTATCAAGCTACATTCTAGCAGTATACTTTTCAGAAGGTTCCTGGAAACAAGGATCTTAGGGACAGAAAGGCCAACTTCTCTCCCATGAGCTGGCAGCTAATCAGAGGTAGACATTAGTGCCACCAGGACAGGGCTTGCAGCTGTCAGTAAAACATCCAATCAAGACCCAGGATTGTCAAGTGCCCAAGCTACAGGTAAGTAAGTAATGGTGAGAATAGGGTATACAGAATGTGTGGGAGGAGGCCAGAGTCAAACGGTGGGGATAGCTCTATTCAGGCAATGCTTCTAATGGCTCTCATGATAACTGTAATTATAGATTTCCCTCACCTGACTTGCAGGAATGTCCATCTTCTTGCAGAATATATCCTGGGAAACAAGTGCACTCATATGATTCCGCTGTTTTCATACAGAAATGTTGACACAATTGTCCAGGATACAGCGAACATTCATTTAATTCACCATCAGTTATAAAGTTGAATGTAGCCTCTTCTTCACTCACAGAATGAGCTTCTTTAAGACTTTCTGTTTCTAAAACTAAGGAAAAAAAAAACTATTATTTAGTTCAATAACTCCAACTAGAAAGTGCCTTCAAATTGAAGCAAACAATATTATTTCCAGACTTGCTCGAGACACCCTGAGAAATTCAGAAATGTTTCCTGGATCACTATTGTGTAAGGTAATGGTTCTAAAAGAGTTAATATTTCAGCTCTACTGAGTCTGAGTTGTAACAGTATTTGAGTGGAGAATTGGTTGAACTCTGGCACAGCCTATCAATGAAAGCATGTGATTTCTCCACCTCTTGTTAGTAATAGTTAAAATTCCTAAGAGTAAATGAAACTTGTAGTTAGTCACTGAATAGCAGTAAACTACATTGGCCCTTAGACTAACACAGCTTGAAGATTGCTGGCAGTACTTTACCTGCAACTACAAGCGGCTAGTACCAAGTCATCACATTTTATTGTGATAGTCATTGAACAACATGAAACTGCATTTTGTCAGGCAACAGTTTACATAGGAAAACAGATGCAGGGAGCCCCTGATTTACAAACGTCGGACTAATGAACATCAATCTCAATCTTGATTAGCCAAAGGGCTTTTCTGCACTCTATTACTCTGACACTATGACTCTATGGGTGTAATTTTAAAGATCCCATTTATGACCATTTCCTGTTGTCCTGCATTGTATTCCATCTTGTGTATAAATCGACTTGCAAACAAAGTCCAGAAAAGAACCCGTTCGTAACCTGCCTGTAAAGTTTCATCCAAAAGCCATTAAGTTTTCTGATCATCAAGTGTGATAAAATTAATAATGCTTCCTGTTTGAGGTTTTCAGTGTTAGGATTAAGCATTTTCATAGAATACCTACAATGTGGAACAGGTTGTTCAGCCCATGAGTTTTCACTGATCCCATCCAGACTCAACCCCCTACTGTATCCCTGTAACACTGCATTTCCTATGGTTAACCCACCTAGGCTACATATCTCTGGACACTATGGACAATTTAGCATAGCTAATCCACCCGCTTTGGACTGTGGAAGGAAACTTGAACACACAGAGGAAACCCATGCAGACACAGGGAACTAAAATCAGCCCAGAACTAAAGTCTGCCAATTGCAGTTGGGACTTCTCAGTCATTTTGGAATTGATCAAACGAGAGTGGGAACAACTTATCCTCCATCCAAAAGGACTACCCAAGAAGGAGAAGAATGATCTCTCTTATATTTCACAAGAATGAGCCTAGATTTAATCCTCAGAAGAACAATGGTCTCACATCTTCTACTACCTCTACCACTTATCCTTTATTTTCTACTATGTTAATTATTACATTCCCAATTCTTATCAAATCAGCTCATATTCATGCTGTGGATAAGCACGAACTGGAGAGAATGTGTGACCTTTGATCTTAGCACCTTTGGTTTGGATTCTGGCTGAGAAACTTGCAGATACATGTAAAAGCTGACCGAGGTCCTAGGTTGTCAATAGGATAACAATTGCATTTTAATTGGGAACTGAGACCCTGTTAGGCTGAAGAAAGTTCATCGTAAAGATGAAGCGACTGTCCAGTTAAGTAAAAATCTTTTCTTCGTGGGTCAGATTGCTCCTCTGGACCAATGAGTATATTACACATGTGCCCTGACTTTCCAAATCAGACATCCCAAAATCCAGACAATCAATCTTTGTGTTAGAGCTACTCAAAATGACTTCATGTGGCAACCTTACAGATGGAAGACATTTATTCCATTAGCTTATTCTGTACAAAATTCCCAAGTGAAAAGGAAGTGTCTATATTGCACCACTGTATTTTCTTGGTCCGTTCCCCATCTCCTATAGTGTTTACTCAGACTAGGCAAGTCACACACCCACATTCACATCATTAGATTTTTCAGGAGTTTGGGACTTTTACTCTTCTAATGATACAAGTTTATGTTCAATCTTTTCCTTTAGCTGATTCTGTAACAAATTCCCAAGTGAAAAGGAAGTGTCTATATTGCGCCACTGTATTTTCTTGGTCCGTGCTTTTCCTTTCAAGTTACATGTCGTGATTGTCCATCTGACTTTCATGCTTTATAACACAAAAGGGTGTAACATATCCCAGCTTAGAAATAATGTGGAACTTTGGAATCACACAGATGCTTTGTTACAGCTAAACTAGGAATATATGACTAATAGTTTTAAATATAATTTGATTCTTCAGAATTCAAAATAATTCCACATGTAACTCATTGATTGAAATATATCTATTTGTTTCTTGTCTTTTATAAGCAATGACTTTGCAGGAAAATAGTTACCAGATACAGCTATTTTCCAGTGCTGGCACTAAATGCACTTATTGGAATGTATGAACTTCATGATGTGGCAAATACAGGGAAATGTGATTTCATTAAAGAAGAAAGTTTTATATGGGGAGAGATTAACTGCTGAGGACACTCTACAGCCATCCAAAAATTAAAAATGGCATTCTCCTTCTGTTATTTCCACTTAAAGGCAAAACTTCCTTCCATCTGTCCTCATCACCGCACATACAAAAACAATGGAAAATCTGAAAGAAGCCTTTATTATGGAAGCCAGCTTCCACTCCTCTGTTCTATTTTTAATGACCTCACTAATCCATTACTGTTAGCATAGAAATCATTGAGAAAATAGCTCAATACTGAAAATAAGTATTTTACTTAAGTTTGTAGTAATTTATAACTAAATGCAAGATCAATTTCTGTGAAATAGCCAAAACAAATTTTGCCTTTCCTTCAAAGTTGCTTCCTTTGAGTTGAAAATCGTCATATATGAAATTTAAAAAACACTCTAAAAAAAGAATTGTGTGGTGCCGACTTCAAATTAAATCAGCTAGGTTTTAAAAAGATTAATTTTAATTGCCAAGCATTTGCTCATCCATTGTAGACAAGAAAGAACTTTCTTTCATCTAAGACTGTTCACATCCTTAGGATATCTTAAAGCACTCCTTGGTCAATGAACTACCTCTGAAGAAAGGTAAAATACTGCAGATGTTGGAAATCTGAAAAAAATACAGTGAATGCTGGAGAAACTCAACATCTCTGGAGAGAAACAGAGTTCTGTTTCAAGTCCAACAGGATTCTTCCTCAGAACCCAACTATCAGAACTCAACTATTTTTGGTTGATCTGGTGTTTGTTGTCTTGTGGGTAATAGTTGCAGTTGCTGCATTTTCACACAATTACACTCAGACTTTCCTTATTTCAGATGTTCCAATATGAGAATGGATTTTGAGGGGCAGGCACTTTTGTTTGATGTTACGTTTTAAATACAATACAGAATGCCTGACTTAGTTCAAATTTAACTTAACTTTTTATCTATGGAAATTTTCTCAAATAATTAGGTCTGAAAAGCTTTATCTTTTTAACTTTGTTCCAGTCAACATAACAGAAATAATACAATTCCATAATAAATGGTACTTTATGATTTTTTTTTGCTTTGTCTTTAAATTTGCATGTTTAATAGATACTGCTTCAATTTTTTAATTACTTTATTTATCATCCTTAAAATTTGCAGTCACTCTAATTTCTGGATTTGACATTCTAAATTAAGAAAACCAAGTTAGCCCATACTTTTGCTCTTCTGCTACATTGACAGAGGTACAATTAAAATCATACTAATAACCTAGATTATTGTACTGTAATGTACATCAAAGAGAACTTTCCACTGGTCTTTGGAATTTGTTAGAATCTCCTGCCAAGAAGGATACATTTTTCACTTCCTTTCATTAGGCTCCACCTGAAGATAGCCTCAGAGCCAGAGCCAGAGCCAAAGCATTGTTTCCAACGCAGATTTCTTTTCTAGCCTGCCAACCAGGACCATCTGTGTTATGACTTAGACCATCAGTTTGATGCAACAGCATATTCCTAAATGTAATTATGATCCATCTTTTCCCTTGAAAGAGAAAAAGACTAGTAATTTCTATTTTGAATCTTTATACAATTTCTTTGGGGATTTTTTATTTTTATAAACTTTCTTCGCAATGTGTTTTCATAGCCACAGAGCAGGTGAAGTTCTAGCTGTAGCATTGCCTACACCGTATAACATTAATTCACTGAAAACTATGTGAATAGACTTGGGAGGGGTGCTTTTCACTGAACTTTCCAGTCCTTTGAAAATGGCAGGCAGGTTCAAAATGCAGCAGTCCTCATCCCTCCTCCCCCGTTGTAATAGATTCTATGCTTGCTGGTTCGATAAAACGGCCTGTCAGATTCGCACAGAAGGGTAACCGGAACTCAAAGGGCCACTAGAATAGTCCTCATTCAGTTATTGCAAGGACCTTAATTGGCATTGTGGGAGTCATGAATTTATAGTGTGGAGGTAAACATGTTTTAATGGTGCAGCAGGCTTATTGACTTCTATAATCTCAAATTTTCTGAAGCTTTCACTCTTTGAAATGAAAACTGATTGCTACTGCTGCTGACTGTTAAAAGGAACCCTCTGCTGTCTGCTTTGATTAACAAACCAGTTCTACCTGCATCACAAGGTTCCAGAGATGAGAAATTCCAGTTATGTGGATATATTGGAAAAGTTGGGACTGTTCTCCTTGGAGACATGGTAAGGCTGAGGGGAGATCTGAAAGACATTTTCAAAGTCATAAGGGGTCTGGATGGAGTAGATAGGAAGAAATTATTCCTGTTCATAACAGGATTACAAATGAGAGGACACAGTTTTAAAGTGTTTTGCAAAAGAAGCAAATGTGAGATCATAGAGTCGTAGAGTTATACAGCCTGGAAACAGAACTTTTGGTCCAAATCATCCAAGCTGACCAGATATCCTAAATTAATCTAGTCCCATTTGCCAGTATTTGGCCCATATCCCTCTAAACCCTTCATTTTCATATACCCATCCAGATGTCTTTTTGTACCCGCCTCCACAAATTCCTCTGGCAGCTCATTCCATACACACACCACTGTCTGCCCTTCAAGTCCCTTTTATATCTTTCCCCTCTCACCTTAAATCTATGACCTCTAGTTTTGTATTCCCCTACCCTGGGAAAAAGACCTTGGCTATTCACGCTATCCAT